GCCTGAGGCACCTTGTTGTTTCAGGCAGATTAAGGATGTTGTGGAGATTGGACCTGAGCATGCAGAAGTCTACTCACTGCATCGTGTTTCAAAACAGCACGCTTCAGATGTCAGATCCTGATCTCAATCCGAAGGTTTGCCACCTTCCCGGAGGACTCGAGGCCACGCACACCGGCAATTCTAGTGGCTCTCGACATCTTGAAGGGCAACCGTGCAGGGTCTAGATATGTTCTTGCCTCTTCATGCATATTATCTTTGTGCAGGTCAACGGATGCCATGTCTGCACTCCTTGGAACATAAACTATCTTCTCTCTCCTCTCACAATCTCATCCCGCATCTGGTCACGCTTGGAGCTGTTGCCTTGTACTTCTCATCCAACACATGTGAGGACAAGGGGCTTGGTAGAGTTTGGTGGTAGGAGATCTGCCTCATGCAAGGCATCCGCAGCCGGACATGAACGACTTCTTCTTCCTCTTGCTGCATCGCCAGCTTGGGTTCACTGCCTGCTCCTAGACTTCGACCTAGATTCAAACCAGACACCTGTCACTTGACCGATGGCTGCTTTTTTTTTGGGTTATGGATGCACTCCTCAACAACTAGGAATCTTGAGCCGCGCCGCTCGCGAACACCTCCAACGAGCATGCTGATTACTGCCGATTTTGCAGAAGCCAAGCTCCAAGGGCTGGAGAACCTGAAGTAACAGAAACTGCTACTGTTACTGCAACCTCTCGAAATGCAAGTGAAGCCCTCGCCCTGAAGGGTGGGCTTGCCAGGATAATTCATGATCGGCTTCGGAGAGAGGCAGCTTCAAAGATGCGGACGTTGGCCAGCAGCCAAGCTTTAAAGGAGGAATGCAGCAGCTTCTGGCCTGGAAGACTAGGTTTGGTTGGCGCAGCCTTGATATGTGCTTTGATGATTGATGAACAAATGTCGTTTTTGCATTGGCTTTCTTTCATGGTGCTTGGTTGGGAAAAGCACCCTTGAGAAATCGTGCTGGCAACCCTTACCTCATCTATGAGTTCGCCATGGGATTCTGTATTCAGCTGGCGGTTGGTGGTTGGTGCTGGTCGGTGCCATTGCTGGTGGCAGTAGAGGGTGAGCAGGAGAAGGATGAGGAGGAGGAGGAATGCGAGTAGCACAAAAAGGAGGACGAGGATTTAGAAGTCGGAGTAGTAGAGGCATAAGTACTGATGCCCTGCAAGCTTCGCATGTGGCCATTATCTACTTTCAGCTTGTTGTTGGCGGTGGACGCACTACGGTCTCAGAGGAAGTGCTTTCTGCTTTGGCCTGCTCAAGCTTAGAACCTCAAAGCACCTGCAATTCTGCCAGCACCCCTCCCCGACCATAAGAGTACATTCGGCTTCCAAGAGCCCAACGCGCTCCCACCGCATGCTGGAACTAACCGTGCTCAGATCGCAAGAGTGGAAAATCGTGTGCGGCTCCCAGTGTGGAAGAACAACTCAGACCGAATGGTCCTGCATCAGAGGTCCCAAATATGCAGCATGAGCGTTGATGTTGTGAAGGTGTAAGTCCTCTGGTGATCTGCCTTGGACTGTTTGAGCTGACAGCAGTTTGCAGGTAACTGCGACTTAATGTTGACGTATTACCTTTGCAAGTGAGGGTCCTAGCGTAGGACTTCGACGGGAGGTTTCTCTTGCCACACGACCGTGTTTCAGCAGCTCAGGGCACAGCCACTTGCGACGAGTTCCGCGATGCCCTCAGAGATGCAGGGCACCTGGATGCACATGAAGCTCTAGTGTTTCACTTCCTTGTGATTCGCCTCCTGATGCGACCCTCGCCATCAGAGCAACTGAAGGACAGTGCATGCATTTCCCGCGCATTGCCAGGAGTAGTGCTGTCAGTTCCTTTTTAGCCAGGCTGCTATCAACGTCCCTGTGTTCTATCATTGCCATCATTATCACATAGGAGCCATTACCATCGTCAGGCATTTTTGTACTTCTGAGAGTTCAGTCCTGCAAAGATGTTTCGTGGAGCACTCTCAGGGCGTCCTTCCCGCGATTTAAGGACTAATGATTGACATGAAAGTAGTAACTGCGTGCAGTCGAAGCAAGATCAGAGTAGTTTGGCTCATCTTTCGTAGATGTGGGCTGTAGTCTACGTGAGATAACTTCAGGATGTTCTTTCAAGCTGTCACCTCTCGATCTTCACTAGCAGACCCCTTGTTAGATATGCCCCAAGCTGCGCTAAGGATTGTACTTGTAAAATTGACACAATCTGCCCGGGAATTTGCATGGCCAATAGGCGCAGATCATGGGGATCGATGATGCCATTTGGAGGCATTCCGTTCAGACAAAGTTTGCGGCAAACTAGTCCTTGCGGTAGCACAAGGTTTGGGGCGCCTGTTGCACTCCAAGAAGCGGTGTTGTTCACAGCATTCGCCGCATACTGAAGAAGATGCCGTCTCAGTCTGTGCCATGACAGGTCTAAGCTTTGCCCTCCCGCTGCCTTGGGCAACCAGGCTGGGCAGCCAATCAGCGCTTAGAGACAGGTATTCACTGTGGTCGCGCCAATTCATCTTCCCGTCGATCCGTGCATCACCATGCTGATTGGTCCCTCAGACCCCATTGCCGCTGAAGTCTACTTTACGGGTATACCGAAGAAGGCTTGGGATGCAGCCGCTTTCTTTCCTCCATTATGTTCGGCTCTGCTTGACTGCTTGCTGTCACAAAGCCAGCCGCCGAAACAGGGATTCCGGGAGCGCACAAAGGCAAAACTTCACTCTGGGCTCCTGGGAGCTGTTGCAGCCAGGCTGCTCTTTCAGAAGCGCTGGTTTTGGAGTACCTCGGCCAGGGGCCTGGGCCAACGGGGGCGGACAGACATCTTAAGCGACCACAGGAGCCTGTCCATGCTTTAAATGAGCAGCAGCATTTACTGCTGCAAGAGAGCAGAAGTAATCCTGTTGTTATTTTTGCACGTTCCTCTGGGACTAGATAGGGCCGCGGCTTGAACGAGACACGTCATGTTCCTGGGAGGGTTAGAACGAGATCAAGGGCCATGGGCCGTGCTGATTTGCAAATCCGCCATGGACTCAAAATAGAATAACATAAAGGCTAGGGCCAAAATCGAAAGTCATCGTTCATGTGGGGCAAGGTAAGTCTAACCATGTGAAAGACATGGCAGATTCCCCTTTCGTTGAGCCTTGATTATTAGTATTATTACTAGGTATTGCTATTACTATTACCATTATTCTTATTACCATTATTACTATCACTATTACTGTTATTACTACTATTATCACTATTATTATGCTCGTTTAGCGGGTGCCTGTACTGATGTTGTCATTGAGAGAACCCAGGGTGAAGCTAGGCCAGCTTCTGGACTGAATTTCATTGGACATAATAACAACAATGAACATAATAGCAATAATAAGAACAGTAATGGTAAGAGTAATGATAATAACAATAGCAATAATGATAGTAGTAATAATAGTAATGATGATAATTATATCTGCCCTTCAGTCCTGATGCAAACACCCTCGATTCAGTGTGAGCATCATTCCCATGCGCCTGTAATTCTTCTTTTGAGGTGGCGGCTCTCAGAGCAAGCTGAACAAGGTAACACGGACAAGCATATATCACTATTGTTACTACTATTACTATTCTTCCTGCTATTATTTTTATTGTTGTTGTGAGGATGGGGGTCAAGCATGCTTGTTCTAGTCATACCGCACAGTCGGTTCTAAGCTTCTGCTATCGGTCTTCCCTTGTCCTTGGTGATCGTCAAGGTGTTCCGCATTTTTCCGGGGTGGTGGTTTGGAATATGTTTTTGATGCCGATTGTGACGAAGTTGTCGTGTTAACTTTACTCGGGCCGATTGCATTGAGGTGTTTGGACACCTCTAGCTGCTACTTCCTTGATCGCGGCAACCATGAGCATAATGACTGAAGATTCATGGCACCCTCATAGCGCTGTTGATTCACAACAATCTGGAAAGCCTGCCTAGCATGGACATACCTAGATCTGCAGCACCATGAGACCTCAAGCCTCAGTTGACCTCCTTGGAGGCTATGGGAAATTGGATCCCTCATGTTCTCAAGTCATGCTGAGCATGTGATTCCAAAGCTGACAGGGCTATGTCACAGAGTCCCAGATGCTCTGGGCTACCGTGGAGGCCAGCTTCTGTGCTTTGGACTGCGCATTGTCATGATTGGGTGCTGCAATCCTCACCTCTGAGCCCCGGAAGCCTGTAGGCTGTGGCAGCTGAGCTGCACGATCGCACAGCCCTCAGAGCTACTTCGTTCATACAGCAGCAAGCAAGGGGAGGAGGAATTCAGGACGACAATGGGATCAAAATGGTGAGAATTTTAGCGACAGTGCAAAGACGTAATTTTGAGTGGGATTATGAAACAGATGCATGTTGATGGCAGTTCCTCGTGCTTCATGTCAGCGCACCCGGCACATGGGTCTGCGGGTGCCGAAGCCTGTGTCCAGCGTGCCAGCTCGCTGTCATCAGTCTCAGTGACAGGGGAATTACAGGTGGACTGGCGGCATTCATGGGAACACTCTCGTGATTTCCCAACGTGCAGCTGCCTTGTTCCAATAGTTTTGGCCTTCATAAGATATATCCAAGTGTGTCAAGTCCCAAGAGCCCAAGCCGCACCCTGAGCCAAAGCTGCTTGTCCGTGGCAACTTTGGCTCGGCTGGGACCACAGTGCCCAAATCTGCGGGCGCCGAATGCGGCGGCTGCAGGACCCTGTCCTGATTCGAACTTGTTGGGGATCTGAGCCTGTCTGTGAGGCAGTAGGTTGAAGGCCCATTCTGGACTTGGATCCTTCCAGCCTTTGCAGTCGAGGTGCCTTTCGTTGTTCTCAAGCGCATGTACAATCAGAGGTTTACTGTGTCCAGACGCTACAGAGGGAAAGTTTCAGCAATCTTTGCTACGCCGAGCTCATATGGCAAGTGTGCTAATTGTGCGTGCAAATGTGTCTCTTCAAGACAACCTCTCACTCGACAGATTGCTTGCAGGGGCTGCGACGCTAGATGGCGTCGTTAGCGTCGATTGCTGGTCTACAGGCAATGGACGCAGCATTTGCAAGCCTGCGATCGAGCTTTCTCAAAGCCGTTTGTTTGACTGCGCGATGCCATGTCTGACAGGCAAGTCTTGATTTGTCTATATATTTGCCTTGTCTCGGTGTTCATATTGGTTCGCGCATGAGATTCGTTGCCGGCCCGACACCCCAAATTGAGAAGCCATTCTTGTTCCTGGATGCCATTTCGCATAGGATGGTTCGGATGGCACTTGGGTCAACCATGCTCCCTTGCATGTAATGCGTTGTGTACCTTTCACTGCGCAACCTGCTCGGGCCATCTCGTTTGCTTGTGGGCATTTTCAGCACAGCTAGCCCCACTAGGCCCTTCTTCAATCTACTAGCCCCGTAAGCCCCTTCACCCATGTCCCTAAACCCCAGACCCAAAACCCTTACCCCAAACCCAACTCTGTAAACCCTAAATGATTGTCAAGTGGCACTGCAAGAGCCTCCGCGCAGGTTTTGCCTGAAGCTGGAGATGAGATTTTTGAGCCTTGGCTTGGCCTTCCTTAGCACTGCTACAAAACAGTAAAAACATAATTAATAGTAAAAATAGCAATGCGGGTAATCATGGTAGGTCTAGTAGAAATTATAGTAACAATATTAGCTGTAGCTGTACTGGGTAACACAGTTTGTAATGGTAATAGTTTTAGACTTGCAGTGTTGTAGCAGAAGTAAACTTGGGCTCTGAGTGGACACAGATGTGCATGTACCAGCTGTTCGGCCAAAGTTAGTTTGGGTGAGCAAATTTATACTCAAGGCTTGAGTGCAGAGAGAGAATGCTCGACGTCAGGAGGTGGTCATACTATGCGCAATCCTGTTTACACTGGTGATGATCCCTGGAGTTGGTGTGCCTCGGCTGCATATTTTCAGACTAGACTTTAATTGAAAGTGAAAAGCGGTTATTTTGGGACTCTGGCCCCGAAAGAATTAGGTTGGCCTCCTTAAACGAGAGCAGATGCAAAACATATGCCAGAAGCCGCGCATTTATTTCGGTCTGGCCGGACATGGGTTCAACCAAGTTGGTCTTGTACCGCGACGTCTACGAATTTCGACAGCAGCAAGAGCTCCGAAAGGACGGTATCATGCAGGTTTCGCAAAGCTCGAGTCCAGATTCACACCCCGTCCTTCCAAAAAAGAAATGCAATGCACGGTGACCTGCCCAGCTGAGCCAGCAATGACATGAAAGGTTGCAGACAAGGTCGAACATACTCGAGATCTTGAATTGCCGTAGTAAGCAGGCATATGTGTGCGCCTTCGCGGTCCCTTTGCATTCGTATCTTATGCAGGACTTAGCTGCCAAGTGCCTGTGCTTTGGCTGCATAAAGAGCAGGCCTTTTTCATTGTTTCTTCGTTAAGTCCTCAAATCAATCAAAGGCTGTGGAGGTTTCCCCGCAAGAGTGGAGCTTCGTGAGTAGTGGTTGACACACCCTGCAAGGTGCTCAGCAGTCTACAAGCGCTTCTTGCTGTGCAGTCAGGAGGAGCATATCTCTTCAATGATGGAAGTATGCTTTGGTGTCATCTGAAAACAAATGGCCTTCCTTTGCAGTGCCTATGGCATGCATGGTTTGTAATTGGAATGGAGATTTCATGAAGATTCCTCGCATCTGGTTTTATGTGGACACTAAGTTGCATCAGCTAAGGCTGTACGACCAAGGAGCGCTGTTTGCACCAGCAACAGAGTGGCCAGAGCAACCAGCGACTGACTAGCGTTGTTCTGACTTGTGCTTTGATACTGAAGGCCGCAGCTAGGATGTGCACTGGACCCAAAGCCCTGTCAGGAGCAGGAATACACAGAACTGAACCAAGCGGGGTCCAAGTGTGAGCAGATCTCAGTCCAAGCTTGGGTCCCCAACCCATGATACATCTCTGTGTCTATGTGGATTGGTGCCCCCTGGTGTCAACTCCACACGCAGGAGGCAGGTTTGGCGCTCTTCGATGCTTGGCTGCACAGTGTGACTGCCTGTGACTTCCCATTCAAAATCCCTGGGAGCTGAACAAGGCAGCGCTTTCACGAGCGTCCCCTTTTCTGGTTCCAGGCGACACAAGTTGTGAAGATTGCCAGCAGTCCGGCGATGTCTGGTTTCTTCTCTACCCAGAGATGGGCAAATTGAGTGCACTGTAACGCTTCAATGAGCAATTAGCGCAGCGTCAAAGCTTGGCTATGCCGCTATGGCTGATGCGCTTGGGCAAAACACATATTCAACTCAATCGGGCCCAGCGCACCAACTCAGGGAATCGGTTTGGCCAGCCAAGGCGTGTGCAAGCTGTCAGCGGTCCGCAGGGGCCTCACAGCCTCAGAGTCCCAGCAACACAGGATTTTCAAACATAGAGGTTGGCCAAGGGGTTCTGTTTAGCAGCTTAGTCTCAGCGTCATCGTCTCCATCTGCTGTTCCACCCCTCCATGCCTTGAAAATCAAGAGCTCAGACAAGGACTTATAGTGGGCTCTGGCGGCATTGTGCATCGAAAGCCTTCTTTGTAGTCAGCCAGGAGCTAGGTCCCCTTGTCTGGGGGGATGCCTGAGGTCAAGAAGGTCAACTTCTATTTCTGGCGCTGTGAAACCTGCAGCGGCGAGCGCCCCTTCGGCAACGGTGTTCCTTTGCAGCAGCCAAGCCGCCGAACTGAATGCGTGTATCCGTTTCCCGTAATGAAAATCTTTAGTGCGCAGAAGGGTACAAGTGCACACCTCTTCTGAGAAATGAACAGCTCGAGAAGGTTGAGCAGCCACCTTCCCTTGAATCACCGACACGAGCGCTCGTGCTTGCAAGCATGGAAGCGGATGCGGAGGACTCAAGCGAGTTCACGGATACAGAGGACTCAGAGGAGTTCACTCTTCTCTTTAGAGCCGAGGAACTGATCTGGCGTGCACACGGGGAACACGCTACCCCGCTTTTCCGACTTGGTCTGAACGTGAAGGCTGATGAAAGCAATGGCAAAGTTGATCTACCTGAATATCCGTGGCCTGGCAAGTACGAAGATCCTTGGTACACGGACCAGGGGATGCATCGTCACGTCATTTGTGACGTTTGTGGCGCTTCGCCCATCGTGGGACTGCGCTTCAAGTGTATGGATTGTCCAGATTTTGATCTGTGCGGGGACTGTCACAAAACTGCAGATCAACTTCACCCAAAGCATACATTCGAGCTGAAGGATGCATCCAGCTCTGTATGCAGTCCCAGCGCAAGTGTTCTCGAATGTACTAGTAACGTAAACGACGCTGAAGGGAGCGAATCGCGTCATACATCGGCATCAATATTCACTTCTGAAGATGAAGAGGAACGCCGGAAGCATCGGGGGTTGCTGCGGTCGCTAATTGGAAGGTTGCTGGACAGTGTGTTAATCCTTGAATACATAGATCATGAGGCGCTTGGTCAGCATTGCGTGGCCATAGTCAACGGTGGCGTCTTATCTGCCCACAGCATTGATATTTGCCAAGACCGTATCGATGAGTTGACACGGATTTTCAGCCGTTGTGCTGTTGCTCGCAGCAAATGGGAAGAGGTGTCACAGTCAGTTAGTCAATCTTTGCTGGGCCCAGTGGACGCGCTAATTGAACAGTACTCTTGGATTCACATCATTGCGGTTGGGAGTCTCAGCAAGGTCCAGTATCACGCTCTGCCATGGCGAGAGACACCATTGATTTGTCAGCGCCGCGTCTCCTACGCAAACTCGCTGACAGAGATGGTGTTGCAGCGTAGCGTTGGCGCCGGCAAGCATAGCGCGGCCCAGCATGAAGCCAACAACTCTCATGACAGCAGAGCGAGAATCCGGGAGAAGGGGACAGTGTCTGTGATTCTTTCTGGACCGGTCGACGCTCGAACAAGTGAACGGCCGGACTGCAATGTGGCCAGCATTGACCTACCTGACCTGCGCTGTGCAGTTGCTGAGGGCAACTGCGTCAGTCAACAGCTTGCAGAAACTTACGATATTTACAAGCTTGAAGGTTCGGAGGTGGGCTATGAGCAGGCGTGTGGCTTGCATGACAGGTTAATTATGCAGGGCGCGCTAGCTGAAGTGTTTCACATAGCCTCCCATTTCTTCTTCCCAGACGATCCTCGATTGAAACCTGAGCTGCGTTTGTCAAATGGCCAAAATGTTCCGGTACCTCACATCAATGATGTCATACCTGATCGTGTGAAACTTTGCTTCCTTTCTGCTTGTGCCACTGGCCTGATTTCAGCGGGCATTTGTGCAAACCTGGTGGCGAGCGTGATGGCGGGTAAAGGTTGCCAGTACATTGTTACCACAAGTTGGTCCATCAGCGATTTTGCAGGCTTAGTTTTTGCCAACATGTTCTATGCTGAATTTGCAAAGCACCCGCAAGACCCAGTTGGTGCCTGCCAGACAGCGCAGAAGGCCCTTTGGGCCATGAAGATGGATGAGTTGAAGACTCGGGCGCAAGAGACAGTGGAACATTCTGTTTGCTGCCCCAGGCCTACGAAAGTTGCTGGTGTTTCTGATAGACCTCAAATAGCAGAAACAAATGATTCATGGCAGTCTCGCCATCAAGCGGATGACATGCAAGCATCTCTACTATGCGGCATTGAGGAAGAGATTCCTGTCGAAAGGGGAAGGGCAGGAGCTTCGCCATTGTCTCCGTTCTGGTGGGCCTCACATCGGGTCTATTGTAACCCCACACGCCCAGAGGCCGCTTGCAAGCGACCGTCTGCCAGAGGATAAAGAGATGAGCGAGGGAAGAGAACATCTGAGATCTGCTGGCGACCTTACGAAATTCATCATTGGTTTGCCAGTTCCAGAGTTGGAAGGCGCAGTCGGAATTGTGGCCACTTCAGTTGGAGATATTGTGACAGTTGCAGGAGGCGGGCAGGCTCCGCATCTCCACCGAAATTGGAAGCCTGGAATGGGGGTCTTGTCCATCGGACAACGGACATGTGGGCCCTGTATTGTGAGACGATACAACCTTCGCCCAAGTCTAAAGTCATTGGAGAAGTCAGAGATACGGGGAAGCATGTGGTGCCTTGTTGCATCTCCAGAGTCCAAGCGCGTGTTCGTCGGAACTACACTAGCGTGCGTGTGTTTTTCTGAGCTTGATGTGAGCACGCCCCTTTTGGAGATTGCTTCTAATGGACACATGTTGATATGCCCCACCTCAAATGGTGCCCAACTTCTAGCAGCTGTAGCGACAGGTTCAGAGTTTCCCACGGCAGGATTGTCGGTCCTTGATTCAGAAACTGGTGCTACACTGGACAACCGCCACAGCCTGCAGAAGGCCTTCCCAGCCACTGCTATTGGACTACTATGTCTCCGCTATGGAAACAGATCTTCACATGACATTCTCATCGTGCTAGATGCAGCCATTGAAACAATTCAATTCGGCAATCAGGTTTGTGTTCTCGAGAAAGTGCAGAGGCACCAGAGCCACATCCACGAGATAGAAGGGCACCTTGAGCAGATTAATGCCCAAATTTCATTAGCGCAAACTGATGAGAAGCTGTCAGAATTGCGGACACAGAGATCCAGCTTGCTGGCAAGTTTGGCTGAGAAGAGGAGCAAAATATTGGAGCTTGAATCTTTAGCCGTTACTGACGTAAAGCCGAAGCCTGATCTGATAGGGCTAGACGTGGAAACGGGCAAAGAGGTTTGGCGCTTGCCCACCCCGAGGACGGAAGTTAGCAGTTTGCCACATAGCCTCTGCAGGTTGAACGATGCAGCAACAGATGGTTTGCTAGGTTGTTATTTCCATATTCTCCGCTTCAATTCTGCAGGGCAGTACCAGCAGTGTTTTCGCACACTGACGATGTGCCGACCTATGGCGCTCACGTGCAAGGAGAAGGTGAAACAGGTGCTGTACTGCATCGGGCACCGCACCGTGTTTGTTTTGGATTGGACATGTGCCAATTCCGTAGATGCATTCTCGCTGTCCAAAGATGACAGAGGACCATCGTCCCTTATGCAAGACGTGGATGATGAAGTTTGGGGGCCATTGTTAGGGTGCCGGAGCAGTGATGACAGGTTCCAGTGCCGACTATGGGAGTATTTTGAGGAACCAGAGCTGGCGATCTGATAGCCATTTTTTCTCTTCGCCTCATGCGCAGCTCGGAGGCAGCGGACTATCAGTCGTGAGCCGGCAAAGAAGGTGTGATGATTGAATATGATTGAAGAATAAGCTAAGCTGGGGTGGTCTTCCACAGCTAGGTTGAGTTTAGGTAGGTGCTGCAGGTTTTGAGTCACCCACTGCAATGCATGTCATGACACCCCCCACTTTCCTTGGGCGCTGTAGATCTGTTGTGTCTTGCTGAGCGTCTTCCTGAAGGAAAACCCATATCGTTTTTTTCTGTGAGAGAGTCATTCTAGATTTCATTCTCGGGAAGTCCCATTTTGTATCCTGGAGCCCATGAATCCGTGTGCTCTTGGCGTGCTCGAGGGGTCTGACAAGGTGGACGGTGGACAGTATCAAAGTAGTAGGGTGCGTTATTTCAGTTGAATCCGACACCTATACTCGACTTTCTGAGTTGTATTCGTACTGGTACCATGGTTTGGTTTCCGGAGTGCTCGGTTCTCTGAAAGGCCAACTCCCCGGAGCTTGCCCATTGTTATGCATTCGCGTCAACTGGTATTTAATAGGGGGACCCCAACCTAGACCCCAAAATACTACAATCCTGACTTTGGGGACCACAACAGAGGTACCCCTAATCTGGGAAATCCCCATCTGTACCTGGCTCTGAGTTGCTGGCTGCTTCAAGAAGCGGCGAATTATTCTTGAGGTTCCAGCTGATATGAACAGTGCAGAGCGAGATGGCATTCGAGACCTACATGGTGAAACTGCAAATGCAAACGAGCAAACGCAATCCGGTAATGCAAAAAAGCAGATTCCGAACTGACAATCAGAAGAGACAATGACGCACATGCGAAAAAAATGACATAGAGCAACAGAAACGAAGCAGCGCAGCCACAACAACCACAACGACAACAACAGCACCAGCAACAACAACAACAGCACGAAAAACACGAAAAACGACGCACATATTTGGGACAGGGGTTGGGGTTGTAGGCGGCCTTTGAGAGAGCCTCAGAAGAAATGCACACGCGCGAAAAGCTGTACCAAACAAACAACAGCTATGGGCGCATGCTTCAGTTTGCATTGTTGCTTTTGCTGCTTGTCCAGCGCATTGCTTGCTTTACTCTTGCCTTTTCAGTTATGTCAGGGTTTGCAACGTTTATAGCTCAGACCAGATCATAGCCTGCAAGCCGAAGCAAAGAAAGGCGGACGTTTGAGGCTTGCAGTGGCTACACCCTCTAGGACTTTAAGCAGTTCGCCCAGGGCTGGGAGTTGCCCACAACTGCACATGGTGCAAATCTCAGGTGGAACTCTGCTTCCGCTGTGCGCAGGTCGTTTGCCTGCCGTCAGAGCACATGAGTGGTTTTTGTTTGGATAGGAACAGTGAGGGCATCATTCCGAGAGCCTCCCAGCCAGCACTCCTGGTCTCGCTCAGTTCACATTCGCAATGCTTCCAAATGCTTTGCATGGAGTTCTATCTTTCCCCACAACGCATGCCACTAACCTCCCCCACACCGCCACCGTAGAGGCACGCTTCCCCGAGCTGCGAGCGCCACGGCAGTGCCGGGAGCAAGTGATGCGTACTGGCAGCCAGGCCGAGCTGTCAGGGCTTCAGTAATTTCAATGGCTAAAGTTTTTTCCTCGGGGGCTTGGAGATTGGGGGATGTTGCTGATCACTGTCTTGCTGAGCCAGCTCCCTCAACCCTGAACTATTGGCCAGGTATCCCACACTTTTTGCCAGGGCTTCTGGCATGCTCCTGCTTCCCTGTGCTCCGAGCCCTCAACTGTTGCACAGGCTTCCGGCTGACTGCCATCCAATGTGTGGGTGCCGGATACTTTGTCTCACTTGCCAGATGCAGACCTCCAGACGTTGCGGTGAGGATCTTCAGCTGTGCCTTTGCTATGTTCTTGGAGTGTCGTGCTCGTAGCATCTTCTGTGCAACCATGGCGGTCCAAGACCGTTGGTGCACTAGGCGCCTGGCTCGGGCAAACCTGAAAAAGCTACAGAGCCACACTACCCGCATGCTTCACCATACTCAGTGAAATGTCAGTAGGCCAGCGTGAAATGTCAGTGGCCGAGCCAGAAAGTTGAGTCGCATGACAGCTAAAAGTCTCGTGCGTTTGTGCCAGACCCATGTGGGGCCTTTGCAGGGTCATGCCCTGTCTCTGCACGTAAGCTTGGGACCCTGGCTGGGAACTCTGGGACCTTCAGGAGGTTCGCTGACCTAATTTGTGTATATTTGTGTGATCCTGTCAGTCTGAAAGTTAAGGTGTGGAAGGTCTTCGCAAGATACATCGTCAGCGGCTGAGACGTTTCTTCCACAAGGGAGCAGCATTGTTTGGGCCAAAGGCAGCATGATATGCAAACCTGCTCCTGCAAGCGAATCTCCAGTCTGGGAGCTAGCTCAAGCAGAGAGGACGTCTTATCCGATAATGTCTCCGGTGAGCAGCGCTAGGCAACCACAAGATCGATGACAAGGTCCAGGCCGGCAGCAGGGCTTTCGTAAGATGTGTCGTGCAAGATGTAAAATTCTGACAGCCCCCAGAGTTCAATTAGGTGAAAGCCAACATCCGGCAAGGAAGGTTTTGATCCCGGGTCTGTAGACATGATCTAGCCAACCATTCTACAAGCACCTTCTAGCAGCAGCTACTTCTGAGAATCAAGTTGTTCCGGACCGTCGATTGAACACAGGGTACGGGACTCATCTTTTCAAGCAGCTGCCTAGTCCCATGATACTCAAATCCCTACACACCATTCGGCTCACTAAGCAGCAACAATGATGTCTCGGGAAGCCTCCTCTTCGCCCGCAAAGCTACAAGGATGAACGGATCTGCCGGTTAAACTACGCAGACTTTAAGAGCTTGCTCCAGCCAGGACCTCGGCGAGATTAGATCCCCCGCGTGAACCCACAAGCCGTGTATATCTCTATATATCTCCTCATGCTCCAGGATGTTTAGACCCAGATATGTCCTTCGTTACTTGCTTCTGACAGCCTAAACAGAAACAGGTGGCACGCTCATCATGGCCCAGTGCCATGCCTTTCTAACCACCGAAGCCACACCGGTGTCGGATGTCTCGACTCAACCGTCCAATGGACATTGGACATCCCAGTTGAACCAGTTTAGATTGTCTTGACCTGGCTTGGGGTTCTACTTTGCAATCGCCTTGAACATGGACGAGATGGCAAACTGACAGTTGATAGTAACCCTGTGCATACGCCAACTTACTTTGACTCCATTGCCCACATGCGATTTCCTGGTTTGGAGGGTGAAGCTAAGGGCCCATGACCACAGCATCTCCAATTCAGCGATTCGATCTTTGTTCATTGCCAGTGTGGAGGCTGGACAAGGACAGAGTTCAACATCCCTAGTGCTGTCACATGAAGCCAAGATTTGCGGACGCATTTTAGATGGTGGGTAGCAGCCCGATCGGCCATCGGGATTGATACTCAAGACATGCGCAGACCGCACTGTTTACTGTGAGCGGAGCCGACTGTCCTCCGCATCCCTCCAGCAGTCTCAGAACCCTGTGTTGAAGTAGAGGTAGCTGCGCAATCGCACGAAACCTGTTTTGACTAGCGCGAGAGGGTTGAAAACTGTTGTGGAGAGTGTCAGAGGCCAGCCGGTCCTGCTTCCAGTACGAGGGCGATGCTTGAGCCCTCCTCAGATACAGGGGCTTTTACAGCAGAGATAATACAAGTCGCTGCTGCCCTGCTGAGTCTGCAAGATGTTCAGAGTCTAGGATCTGGATTGAAAGCTGTTGCCGCTCGAATGGCCAACCATGTTTCTAGTGCAACGGCATCAGAGTCACTGCGAGCCCCTCAAATGGGGACCTTCAGAATCAAGGGATGAGCCAAGCAGCAAGGCTGGTAAACCAAAGCATGCAAATTCCTTGCTAGAGACGGAGAGAAGGCCCCATCATGGGCACGCTGGAGCCCGCGCTCTGGGCTCAGAAGGGGGGATAGAAGGTGACTTGTTCGACTGTTCTATGCACAATACGTATGTCATCATCTAGGATCGATGTTGCGCAACTTCGCTGAGGCCGAACATGCTGTACGGCGGTGACATTGTGACTTTGCAGCCAGAGACCAAGTTCCTGATCCAGTCGGCGGACCTCCATCCACTATCAGAACCAAGTCATGTGCATCGGCTAGTGAACCGGACAGGATGCTACGAAGCATTTGCGATCTGAACTCCCACTATCTGGCAGAGCCGTGAGCATAGACAGCAATTAGATGCTGCAACCTTGCGGTAAACACCAGGAAAAATCGAGCTTCAAACTCTGAACGTTGGTGTTTCCAATCACGTTTCTGTGACCGGTCTTTTAGGCACATGGGCCTTGCGGTGGTGAAGTCGCTGATGAGAGATCAGGTGCTGGCCTGCGGTTGATGACTTGGGAAGGGGGCTGCCCAGAAGTTGGATATCAACCCACCGGCTCAGCCAGGCTGTCGATTGGTCTGCTGGTGCTGGCAAGCACACGTTGGACAATAAGTCTGTGGACAACAGCCCGCCGGAGTCCCAGAACTGAGCTGAAGACCTTGCTTTAGATCCCACAATTGGCAGCTTGCCAAGGGGACGTGGAGCAAGGATCATACAAAGCGTCATGATCCTAGCTAGTACTAGGCGTTTCCTGTAATCCTGTTCCTAGCCTTAGAGAAAAGGGGTGCCGCGACCTCCACAAGCGTAGGTAGGGCATCTCGGATGAGTTAAGTTTCGCCCAATCCCAATGTGGGAACAGACTGTTGGGCACCTACCTGCATTCACTTGGAGTCGTTTTGTGGAAACAAGGCAGGAAGTACCAAAAAGGCACGTAAATTTCGGCTGAGACAACTCTCTGCATTCATCCTGCGAAGACGTTTTACAGCAATGGCCAAGGCAGGAAGTACCAAAAAGGCACGTAAATTTCGGCTGAGACAACTCTCTGCATTCATCCTGCGAAGACGTTTTACAGCAATGGCTGCGCCCACCAAAGCCGGACCAAGCTGAAGATGTGGAGGGGCTTTGGTGATGTTAGCTTCAAACATTTCCTGCTCCACTTCTTGGCACTTCTCTAGGCGGGGGTACCATGACCCTTTCCCCACGCCCTGCCTTTTCGGCCTCAATCCTCAGGTCTGCCGTGTCCGCTGCTTCTGGCGCCTCGCAGCGTCCCAGCTTCCAGGCCAACGGCATCGCACGCTAAGGGTCAACCCCAAAATTAACCCTATATAACCCCAATATACTATAGTAGTTTCCATTTCTTTTCCATTATCCCTAGCATCAGGCCATCAGTTGCAAGCACGTTGAACATGCAGGGCTGGTGGATAGGTTTACGTTTGCTGATGACTGGACCTGATCCTGACAGATGGGCAAGTCACCCAACAGCAGCGCCAGACACTCAGAGATACTGGCTGCCATGCTTCTCAGCGCAACTGCTTTCCCTTGTTCTCCATCGCCATCTTTCTTTGCTTCTTCTTCCTATCCAGTATTACATTATTGGGAGCCAGTTGACTTTTTGGAACAATCGCCATGCTTTCTACTTCCATAAGTTGTCACTTGATTGTCTTCTGTCACCTGTTTATTGCCTGCTATGAACTGGTGCGCTCTGCTGCGCCCATGTTGTCACCTGCTCTTGTTGCCTCCAAGTGGCCGGATTGATGTGTTGCCTCAGGGTATCTCCCTGTACCCTGCCCCTGCCACCTTTCTTGGGTCCGATTACCGTCTCCTGTTGCCTGCAGCTACCGCCGGCTCTGGCTCCACTGCTTTGCATGGCAGCACTGCATTTGCGAGTGCTTCAGCGCATTAACTGTGCATGACCACTCTTTCCATCGAGAGTCTCTATTTGACGGTACAACTGCAGGCTAAAAGCATGATGTGGACTCTCTCAACAACAATCATCGTTGCTATTCAGATCTTTCTTTTGCTTGTGCGTCTCATTTGAACCCAACGTCTGAAGAGAAGGCTTTCGTCAAGCCTCTCTGAATGTGAGGTCTTTTGGATTGTTACCAGTACCATTATTACAATTACAATTATCTTACAGTTACAATTATGTATTTCTATGATGATTAGTACTACTATGTTTTTTTTACTATTGCTACTGGTATTTGTATTTTTACTATTTCTGTTATTCTTAACATTGACAGCTAGCCTCGGCTCCAAAATTGCAACTGCAGCCCCCAACTGGTTTTTGGCTAGCTAGGAATGAAGGAATGGATCCTTTTAGTAGTCCTTTTTTAATCCATTATAGTCGTTTCCATTTTCTTATCCATCCTTCCAAATCCTAAACCCTAAACTCTAAACCCTAAACCCATCATAGTACTTTCCATTTTCATTTCCTTTCCTTCCTTCCCAGCTAATCAAAGGCCAGCCAAAGGGGTTGGATTCTTCTGTGGGCCAGGCTCGCGGAATGAAGCCCCCGCGCGGCAACCGCTGATTTGGGAGTTCCCTAAAAAGTAGGGGTACCATTTTAGGGGTTCCTGTAATAAGGATTATATAGTACTTTGGGGCGTATATTGGGGTCCCCTATTTTGGGAAAATACGATTTCAGGAATATCTCCATGGGCTTGGGGTGCCAGTGTCAGTATCGGACCCTTCTTGCTAGGCTGAGCGTGATCTTGACTGGTCTGAGGCAAGATTCAGGTCCCTCTAGGCAACTGCTTTAGTGATGAAAGGGATTTGTAGGAGTTTCCGCTGCAGGCGGCTTGTTAATGACATTGTGAGCCGAGGGGCCAAAAACTGGCTGCGGGTCACCCCAGGTTGGGTCCCTACAGACAGCTACTATGATTCTTCCTGTATTGTTATAGCATTAGTATTTCTGTTCTTACTATTATACTATGATTATTTCTCTTCTTCTTCTGATCTTTTATTTACTCTCCTTAATGTTATGACTTTGGTTGTTGTTGCTGAGACTGTGTATGAGGGGAAATAATGGAGAAGAAAATGGAAACTCCTATTTTGGGGTTCAGGGTTTAGGGATATGGCGGTTTCCCAAGAATAGAGGTACCTTTTTGGGGCCTCAAACAAAGGTCATAGTATTTTGGGTTATTCAGGGAAACTACCATATAGTTTACAATGACCCTACAGCGTGGCAAGAAAGGGGCCCAACTGAACCGGCCGCAAAACTGCGCTGGTGACAAAAAGGCCGTGAGCGTATGGGCTAAAGATAGATAAAGCGCAGCAATATGCTAGCCCTAAAACCTCCATAAGGCCATTATTCACAGTATCTCTTATGGGTCAAGATTGAAGGTTTCAGGGCACTGCTTGACATTGTGTCATCTGATCGAGGATCCGCCCGCAAGGCATCTCCGCCTGTTGAACTAAGGCTCGCAGTATGCGTAGACGGCAGGCTCATGTGCCCAGCTCCTTTTCAACAATCAAAAGACCATGTAAGCTAGCAAAGTTTGCCTTGCAGCTTGCCAAAACTGCCAAATTTGCCCCAACGACATCTGGGGCTTATTCGGCCTCAAACAGGCGGAGTGACGCGGAGTGAGGGAATGAAGTAGGTGAAGGTTTGCTCCTTGCTGAAGAATGCCTTACTTCTCTTATTTGCATGCACCACCCGCACTCTCACAAGCCGTAACCAAATACCTGAGTGCTACAAGCAGCGCCCTTGCCTCGTGGGACAGTCCAAGTCTTACCAAAGGCTCCAAACCGACAAGCCCTTGTGAACTATGCGTAGCAGCCGTTGCAGCCAACGCATGTTCTGGTGATCTGCCGGGGCCCTGGCCCTTTGTGCATGCCTCTTAGTGTCTCGTAGTGTGTAGCACGACTTTCCGAGCTGGAGCCCCTAGGAAAGGCATCTTGAAAGATTGGGGGCAAGGAGCGGCGTTCCCTTTTTTTGCTGGAGCTGCAGATGCGCATTGCAAGCTTCGAGCTGAGTCCGGACGTCGTCCGCTGAGGTATAAAGAGTCATGTCACAGAAAGCTTTCTTTGCTTGTTTCTTAGCTTGTCAGTCCTAAGCAAGTCGAGAAAACTCAAGTCCTAAGACTCAGGTATCAATGGGAGCTTTTGAACATGTCTTTCCTCAGTGAGTGGCCAGGGATGTTGTGGCCAGCAACATGACATTTCTATCATACTTCATGCCAAAGGATCCAAACAAGACACTCAAAGTACGTACTCTATTTCGCATGCTATAAAGCCGCTGCATAAGAAAGAAGTGCAGTCTTCTCTACTACAGGAGGTTTTTGATCATGGGAGCCTCGTTTCCTTTTGCAGCTACGATGTATGACCTCTAGCTCAGTGGAAGCTGCCGACAGGTTCCCTGCATGGCAGCTCCTGTGGAGAATTGGCATCTCGACAAGAGATTTCGATAGCATCTGTTATGGCAGTAATGAAACTCAGAAAGCGCTATTTGACGGAGTGAGTCAAATGTCAGCGAATGGAAATCCGTGGCACGGTGGAATGCGAATACGCAGAGTATCGCAGAATATCCGGGATGCTTGGGGTCTAGACGGCAACAGCATGCAAGCTCTGACTGTGTTGAGGCTGTAAGTTCTGCTGCCAGCTGGAGATTGGACCACCTAAGTGGGATGATCACCTCTGCATGGCTACCGAGTGTCAACGCACAGTCTTGTGCAGTGCCGGCAGCTCAGGTACCCGCAGCAAAGCGCCGTGACGTTTCAGCCGGACTGGCAACATCGCCAGTGCAGCGGCCCAGTCTTGTGCTTTGTTGATCTTCACTGGATTGTTGCGCCGCCAGCATACAATGCGGCCGCCACGCACAACCCATTTGCACAACAATATTTATTGCGACAGACATTGCTTGCTGGCACATGACACTCAACATCACCACAGTTTACTGTCAAAACAAGATCCCCCAACAATGATGGAGCTGATCTGGGTCCCAACATGAAAAAATACATTTGGCCAATGCTCACAGATGTGTCGGAAAAGATACTTTCTGTTTCGACCCCCCCCCTCCCCCCGCGCAAAAGTCGGGGTTGAAAACAAGCCAGCTGCATTGGAGGTTTGACGCTCAGTTTCTTGGCCGACCACAAGCAGTCGTGCAGGAACCTGAGCAAATTGTTCCTGTCTGCCCTAGACTGCCCTAGACCCTTGCTTGGTGTCTGCCGCGGCAGTCTGCCTCTCGTATACCTGAGATCCAAGAGGATAATATTTTACAAGCTTGAGGCCTACGGAGCCAACTCGAACCTCATTCCGCAAGCTTTGCCTTCCGTCTATTCTATATCAACTACAGCAACTGTGAGTCCATGTTGGCAGAGCTGAGGCCCCAAGCCCAATGCCAACTTCAATACCATGCCTGCACTGTGCAGCCAATTGCCACGACCTGAAGCATCGGAAGCTCATAGACTCATGATGATGTCCAGCCGATTCTAGTCGCTCGAAGGAACTTGGCTTAGGCGCACTAGTCCTCGTTCAACAGCATCCGAATCCTCGGCATACGATCTGGAGCCCCAGTGAGCCATTGCTGCATGAAGGCATTCCATCCAATGACGATGGAGTTCCTCCACCCTCTTCAAGCTCTCGCTTTGCAGCCTGGAGCTTTGCAGCAGCAGGGTTAGGGCATAGGCATCAGGTATCACCCCCGCGTGCTGCCAAGATCTTGCGTACACACATGGTGAAGAGAGACCTGTAGACCTGTCCGTTTAGCAACAAGAGCCGCGAAGCCTTTTGAGATCGAAGCTTCTGAACGTGTCGCATCTCGAAAAAAGTTTCTTGCAAAAGGCAAACAGCGATTTGTGCTCATTACCTTCCTAGACAATGCGAACAGGTTAGCGTGCGGGTGTTCAGGAGAGCCATAGACATCCCTCGCTTTGCGCCCTGTCACTCCTCTCGTCGTTGAGGCAGCCTTATGGCTTCGTCAATGACATGTCGGGCCGGGCCCTCGTATGGGTACCTATAGTACTTTCAATTTTCTTTTCCATTCTCCCAATATAACCCCAACATCACCTCAATGTGCCTTTGCGCTGTTCTGTTGCAGTCACGTCGCCACTGCTACGCAGCCGGTTCGCCGCTGCAGGCATGCAGCAGCAACTCCTCCTACCTCGCCCGGCACCTGCTCCGATACAGCTGCAGGACAGCATCATCATGCCAAGTCTGCGTCTGTGAAGGCGCTTCACTACTGGATGCTTGCAAGTAGCGATCTGTGGAACGGAGCTGATCCTTTATGTTTCCACCCCGCGTGTAGGAAGAAAACATGGGAACTCCAACCAAGCAGGCCCCAGCCAATGAGTGGTCTGCACACAGAATCGCACCTCTGTGCTGCGTAAGGAGGCCTTGGACGATGGCGAAACCTCCTCCTCAGATGGCGCAGGTCAGCATGCTGTGGATGCGTGCATGCAGCTCTCTCGATGAGTGCAGATGCTGCAAATCACGAGAGCTCCCCGTGTGGGAGCTTCGTTTAGCACCTCGTGGAGTGAGCCTGGGATCATGGGGGAGGAAGCGGGGGGGGAGGGCCGCTGCCCTGCACCGCAGGGTAGATTTTCCGCGGGGCCTTTTTGGGCTAGATCCTGCAGTTTATGCTGGGGCAGTTTGGGGGGATCTTGGATGCATTTCCGGAGGATCTTGGGGCGATCTTGAGGGGATGCTGGGGGGGTTTCTGGGTTGGTCTTGAGCTCATATGGGCAGACAACTTGCCACCGGCAAGCGCAAAAAACATAGCTTGCAAGTACTTCTTGCAACGTCCTTATGTCTCCAGACCTGAGTCCCCAGCCCTGTCCGCTGTCGAGCTTTCGTCCCAGCCTGTTGCTCTCAAGTGTGGCTGGTGTGCGGAGCTTTCTACATGAAACCGCAAAGCAATTTCCTCTCGCTATGTCTCAGACCAGGTGATGTGCCACCTGATGGTCCGCGCCGGCGGCGCCGCCGGCGAGGGAAGCGAAAGCGGACGAAGCAGGGCCCCTGGCGAGCGTTGCTGTACTAATCAGGCTGCTCAAACAACCATGGGCCACGGGACCCCGCTAGAAGGCATTTGCTATCCAACAAGGATGAGGCAGGCTAAGGGTCAGAGAAACAAGATTGTCCTTGTAGGCCTTAGGACCCCTGTTTGGCGAGGCACCTGTTGGAGTTCAGGTTCAGAGCACTCACGAATCTTTTGAAGTCCCTAACTTGCCCCCTTTACGGCGCAAGGGGCCCAAGCCTGGCCATGACAGCCCAGGCCCAGGCCGTTGAAGAAGAAGCTGGAACCTCAGAACAGATCTGGGCAATTTCAGATGTTTTTGGTTCTGCGTATTTTGACAGGATTTCCGGAAGCAACGTGCTTTTCAGGTGCGCATTTATGTGGTTGAAGAGGGCTGCAGCGGTGGTGACCTGCTTGCCCTCGCTCAACGCTTCAATTCGCTTTCAATCATAGGTAGGCTGTGTACATTGCTTGCTGAGATTCAGATTTGAATCTGCAAGCAGCTACACGAAAGTGCATGTTGTGAGTTCCCTCTCAGGAGCTCCTGTTGTGAAAGCGACCTGAAGAACGCGTTGAGAGATCTCACGCCATGTAATCCAAGTCCTATGAACTGATGGGCTGGTTGGCACATTAGCCCGATGTATTCCACCGGCCAGCACCTGATTTCAAACCTTCCTGGTTCGGGAGCGTTCAGGGAAGCCTATAGATTCGGCCACACGCCGGTTGTCCAGAACGGCGCAGCCAGGCACAGCCATAGAGTGGTCCAGAAATAGGGTCCCCAGACCTCGGGCCTAGACCTGGTGATCCTCCAGCAAGCCAGGCCAAAATGGCGAACCCACCACATCCTTTTTTGATATCCATCCAGTTCCCATAAACTGAGGCCACTTCCTCCGGCCGAGGAGACGTTACAGGACTGTCATTGGGATTGGGATGCATCTCGTAACCCAGGATGTTGGAGTGATAGTAGTGTGAGTAGTGGCTAGACTAAGCGACTGAGATGAGCCAATTCAAAGGTTTTTACCAACAAGACAGGCCGGTATTCCTAGTTTGGGCTAGACGAGCTTCTGAACGGACTCCTTGGCAGCAGCAAGTCCCTCAGGGGAGTGCCTCACGCCCAAGCTACGCGCCTTGCGCGTAAGCTCTTCCAGCCTTCGCGGGTCTGTGAGCCTTTGGAAAATCTAAGTATACAGATAAAGAAGAGATGTCTGCTTGTGCACACTTATAGTCACCCTTAAGTAGATGGAATATGGGTTTGGGTATATCATAATCCCTATATACCCCATACTCTACCTACTTCAGGGGGACTATATCCCTAGTCAGGAGCGCCCTCTCCGGGGAGGAGGCATCTTCGGGCCGCTTTCTCTGCACTGCGGAGGTTGGGCCTGCGCCGCGACCTGAGTTAGCCGGCTTGGACGGGATCCTAGGGGTTATATTGGGGCTATGTTAGGGCTCTGTTAGGGTTATATTGGGGATATATTAGGGGTATATTAGGGGTATATTTGGGTTCTATTAGGGTTATAGTCTAAACTCCTCAAGGGGGTTCTATAAGGGATGATATACTGGACTACTATAGGGGAGGGAGATACTAACACTAGGAGCCTAGATTATAGCTCAGTTGGGTTCAGGGTGAAGAGGCATGTAAGGTTTGGGGGTTGCACACTCTGCCGTTTCAGGTTGTAGAGACTGATGCTTTAGGCTTTGGTGAGTTGGGGGATCAAGACGCCCCAGAATCACCGTAATCTGTTGCGCTATATAAGATTACTGCTCGCTGTAGCTTCGGCTCTTCACGGCTGTGACATGTCGCTCTCTCTTTCTTTTTCACCAATGACCGCAGGGGGTCAGTGTACATGTGCTGGAATTTCAAGGTCCTACATGACGTGCACCGACGCAGCTTTGTGTCATATCGCAAGCAGGCAAGTCGGCAGGTCATAGCTTTCTCTGGAAGCTAGAGTGGTTTTGTGGAACATGTTCATCCTTCAGGGTTTCTGCTGATCAACTATACTGCAGCGAAGTTTCGCAAACACTTGACCTTGACCCTGAAGGCCTTCTCGCCATCCAGGCTGCAGCATTGGAGGTCCAGCTGCATCATGCCGCCATTGATTTTGCAATGCGTAGCTTGTGGCATTCCTATGGTCTAGCTGCTCATGACCTTCATGTTCATAGTTGCTAAACTTGTAGTGAGCTTTCAGGACGTGTGGAAGCACTTTCCTATTTTCCGATACTTGGTGTAAGACCATCTGGGTCACTGAGCTAAAGACACCTTGATTTCCAACTCTATCAACGTTCCTTCACACTTGGGATCCCTTCACTGGACCAAGAAATCAGAAACAATCCTGTTGCAGGGAAATTCTGCTCACTCGCCTCTCCTGGCACAAGCCAGAAAGGCCTCCGAAAGAAGGCCTGGTTTCATTGTACTTGTGCAGTGTAGTTATGCAGAGAGAAGCATGAGAAGTACAACATGTTGGTGGGGCTATGTTGGGCTGGTGGTAAGCTCTGGCACATTTACAATTTCAGGGTTGCTAGACCTGGGAGGTTCATGCATCGAGCCAGCAGACCTCTGGGTTCCAAAAGAAGGAGAGGTTTCGAGCGTAGGATTCACAGTAGACAGGTTGGTAGTCCATACCGTCCCCCTCATGTGATCAGATGGCGGCTTGAAAGGTTGAGACCCAAAATGCAACTCAAGATCTGTAGCTACGACCATCTTTGCAGCAGCACACTGCTTTACTCTACACAAAATTGCCCGATCACAATGTGTGCTTATGTCGTCCCTGTGCGTGACCCCCATACCGTCTATTTTGACGAAATCCCCATTACCCTGGTACATAACTCCAGGTCTTGCATCAATGGTTTCTTGCTGGTAGGAACCAGTTCGAACCGCGTAACAAGACCTGCCTTACCAGGGTTTGAGCCTTCACTCAACTTGGGCAGCTACGCACAACATCATCTCGATGTTCCAGGCTTTACAACCCTACAGCCTGAATCCAATTCATTTTCATCTCGCAGAGAGGACTCAGTGCCTGATTATTGTGTGATGCAGCAGATACCCCTGCACGGAATGACAAGATCCTACGCTCATCTGCGACCCTTCAGGGAAGGACCAAGAGCTGTGCGAAGCGCTGCTGCCCCGCTCCGCATCCTGGCTGACACTGCCGGGTTGCCAGTGCGAGTACGAGGCCCGGGACTAGGTGCACTGCTGACGGAACATACCCGATCCCCGCTTAAGACTGCTTGTAGAATTCAATGAGCTGCTTCGGGGGGCCTAGCCCGTGTCTAGAGTTTCTGGTACCAAATTGCTGGTGCCACAGAGATGCCATCTTGCGCCAGTATGCGGGGCTCCGGTTTCCGGCAATGACGATGCCTGAGTGGTTCCTGGAAATCACGGACGAGGCCGAGCATGTTGCGAGCTTTGCTTCGAAGCATTTGCAGAGTCAACGGAGCTGGATGCATTATAAGGCCGATCTGCAATCCCGAGACAACAAGTTGCAGTCAACTTGCAATCTGCACATGCTGTTCTTGGTTTGGGTGCGCCTCATTCAGTTTGAAAAGCAGTTGCAGGTTGCACGTGCGTGCGGACTGCAGGACCCATCCGGACTATTCAGTACTCTTCGCTTGTGACAGCAATACGTGCATCCCTTCAGGCAGTCTTGTGGCCCTTGAGCTGACAGCTTGCGCCGCATAAGACTCACAATTTTTCCTTCCAAAAGCATTGATATAAACCAGTCTGCCTTAACTGGGCTCGGGCTGTGCAGGAACGCCCAAACTCTTGCAATGCCAACCTCTACAAGAGCGGCGTGGACAATGCAGCATGTCTCGAGATTCAGGGGTTCAGAAAGTGAAGTATGACCAGCTTTGATTTTTTACTGAACTTGGGTTTGGGTTGTCCCGTCGCAAGACATGATGGATCCGATGTGCTGATGCATGCGGCTTCTACAGAGTTGGGGGGGGGGGCGTCTGTTCAGGCTCCAAGATGTTCTCGCCTTGGTTCGTGCATCTTCAGTTTCCGCAAAGCATGTACCCAGAGGTGAGCTGGCACTGTGACGATGAGCCTCTCTTTGACGCTACAGGCGCCGCAGTCTCTGTAAGCAAATCTTCTCATGGATGAGATCTGTCAGTTCCGATCTGGTGCCTGTCACTTCATTTTGGGAATGCAGGTCGGGATGCGCTCATCGTGTCACTGTCACTCGGAGCGACGAGGCATTGCGGCCGGCCGCCTTTTGAGTAGGTGCACCATGTAGGTAGATGTCCGGCTACCCAAATGCAGGGGACTCCATCTTGCTGGCTTCTGATGTTCATGAGAATGAGAAGCCATCCTCATGTAGAATGCGTTAGCTTCCATGTGGTGTACCACGCCTGGACTCGGAGTCCCTTTAAGAGTCAGTCATCCGCACTCTGCATGGTCGTATTTACCGCTACGCAGATTCCTGACTGCCTTGCAGAAAAAGCTAGGTGTAAGAACCTCGTTCCTAAAGCCCAGTGACGTAGTGTACTGAAAGGTATCGAACTTGATTCAGTAGGCCACCCGATGAAGAAGTCCATACCCCTGGCTGTAGCCAGTTTCAGGGTTTGTCTGTCCTGTCGAGGTCCTTCTGCCTTCGTCCGAAAGATGACCCATTCCAGGAGACCCTCCTTCACTTGGAGGTTCGGAGCTTTGGAGCCAGCCAAGATTTGGAGGTTTCCCAAAATCGGGGATACCTTCTTGGGGGTCCCCTATTTTGGATGTATAATGGGGTCCCCATATTTGGGAAACTACCATTTGCACAGGGGACTGCAGGGGCCAAGGAATATCTGGGAGTCCCGAGAATGTCTGGTGCCGATTGGCGTTGCCTGAGCATAATCCTTCCCGCCCTCCCTTTCCTCTGCCCTTCCCCTCCTTTGCCTCCCTATCCCTCTCCCGTTGAGTTGACCAAAGAAAAAAACACATCCAAATTCTAATCACAACGACAAAAGCACGCCGCACTACAGCAAGAGAAAAGGCACAAGATGTACGCTGCCAAGGATGGGGACCTCTGCACAATGGAGGGCCTTTGCCAAGCTCTCAGTGCTTGAAAGGAAGCAGGTGTTTTTTTTTCTCTTGCGGCTCATGGTACTCGCAGTTCGGGTTACGAACTGTGCATGACTTGGCGTAGATACCCAACCAGACTTCAGGATCAAGATATTCCAAATATTCAGGTATGGCACAGGGTCAGGCCTCCAAAATTCTAGTCGAGGCTGTCTGGTGCAATCACAACACACTCTTTTTGCCTGAGCTTCAAGGAGGACAGCTTTCTGGGTTTGTCGGCAACAGGACAACGAGGAACCAGGGCTTCTTTCAGTTTCGGCTTTGCAATCCTTCGGTGGTCCTGCCGCAGACTGATACATTTTTTGTCTTCCAGGGCAATACCTAGCAACTGGAGGTCAGAAGCACTACAGGCACCGGGTTCCTCCCGAAGAGGATGTTTCGGCGGGGACCTCAGAGCCATTCCAATCAGCGTCCCGGCAACTGTGCTGGTCGGATTGACTACCCGCAGGAACATTTTTATGTGAAAAAAACGCAAGTGGATTAGAAGCTTTCAAGTTTTCCATGGAAGGGAAGTTGGAGACAGGGTGGGTCATTCAACGCCAGCGTCCGCAGCTCTGCATTTTCTGCCTGTGCTTCATTCATGGTTGTGGTAGAAGGCTCGGCTACGTCTACTGTACTGTGTCTTTGATGCATGGATCTAGCAGGGCCGTGTAGAAAGCCATGCTCGTGCATCCATGCCTCTGCGCTATTGATCATCATCACCTCTGCAGGAGTTCCGAGTCAATCTCACCTGGAGATGGATTGTGCGTCATGATGCTGGCTGCCCATGCGGCGAATGAGGTTCAAAAAGCTGTGCGAAGCTATCCTATTCTGCATCTTAGGAGTTCTTTGTATGTTGTAATGAGGAGCATGCCTTACATTCTCAAAGCTATTGTCAGTTAGTAGCACACAAAGCATTCATGGCGAGACGTTTTTGCATATTCCAGCATGCGTTTGCAAATGTCTAAGGCAAAGTACTACTGGTTAACAAGTGCTTTGACACTCTTGAGGGTATCGTCTGATCTGACGACCCAGTAAACGCCGTATAGGTCATATGATGTCATATGGAGATAAAACCGTGATGAATCTCCGAGGCGTTGCTAGTCCACAAGTTGTTCATTCATGCTCTGAAGGCCTACAACCTATTTAGACTGCTCGGGGCAGGTGCGTACAAGCCAAAGCCCACATCCAAAACTGTCACGTCTTAGCGGCCGTGCTAACTGCAGCGTTGGACTGCCCCTGCAGCTGGAATCCCAAGAAATGGTTCCCCAACTTAGCACACAGCAGTTAAAGCGTCTTCGCACTGGAGCATTCATGCCATCAGAGGTAGGCCTGATCTAAGCGTAAGCCCTACTGGTAGCATCATGCTCTTAGAAGCGGAGGACTGGAAAGCACAACTATCAGATGCATCTTGCATACCTGTCCCTCAGTAGTGCATGAGCATACCACAGTGGCCTGCCGGCCAGACCTTCGGGTGAATGCACAAACTGTACGCAGCTCGACATAGGTGGGCAAGTCAAATGACTTCCTTATAAAGGGCAACAGCAAAGGGACAAACAGCAAAAGAAGACGCGACATCTCAACTTGGCATGCGCTGGCTCGCCTTTCTTTCCGTGGCAGCTGTTACAGCTACACCCTGTAGCAAGGAGCGCCTACGCAGGCTGGGCGCGCGATCCCTCAGGACAAGAATCTGATAGATCAAGCTTCCAGAATTTCAGATCAAGTCCAGCTATCCCTAGCCCTGGAATCCCATTGTTCATGACAAGGGAATAAATAGTCTTGCTCAGTTCTACTTCAGGCTGCAGAAGCTGCTAAAGCTTTCTACGATCCCTGTGCAATCCCTTCTCACTTGGCTTTTCAACATTTTGCTGGCAGCCTCCTGGTGGAGCAGCGTCACCGGTCGTGGGTGTGCGAGAACGTTCGGCTGCCTGTTTGCATCAAGTATCTTGAAGACTCAAGGAATAATTAATGTGAATAAGCAGTACAGCCGGGGCTTGTGAAAGAAGTCATGATGAGGTCGAGCAAGCATGTCATTACATGGTTTAGCTGAGATCTTGGCTTCAGAAAGTCCATCGGTTCCTCTCAAGATGGCCAACTAGGTGGAGAAGTCATGGTGGTGGAGGTGGTTTTGGTGGTGTTGGTGCGGCTGTGGCTGCGGCTGCTGGTTGTGCCAGTTGTTGTGCCGGTGGTGCTGGTGGTTGTGCTGGTGCTGGTGGAGTGGTGTTGTGGCAGCCGGTGGCAAGGGTTGTAGTGATGGTCGTAGTCGTCATCGTCGTCGTCATCATCATCATCATCATGGCAGTAGCAGTAGCAGTAGCAGAAGAAGTAGAAGTAGAAGAGATAGTAGCACGGTAGTAGCTTCGCGAACATCACATTGGAAAAGTGAGAGTAACAGAAAGGCACAGCAGAAACAGCGCCCAGGCTCAAGGTCATCGAGGATCAGCCTTGGGAGGCCCACGGACTCAGAAGATCCGCAGTTTCGTGCAGATTGGATGCTGGATAGAAGACCCCCAAGGTTGCCAATGTTCGCGTCCGGCTTCAACAGTTACATACTGCGCAAAGTTAAAGGGTGGGAACATTCTCAGCAGGTCTTAGGGAGTGGGAAGGTTGTAATCTGGCACAGTTTCGGCTAATCGGCTAGTTGCTGAGGTGTGGGCCTTAGACACGGCAGAGGCTTTCGAGCAGCTCAATTTCAAGGCGGAAGCTGGGAACTCTTGGTTCTCGGGTCTCATGTGATTTGATGGAACTCAAGGCATGGGCATACAAGCGGGTTACAGCAGCGATTGTATTTCACATTGCTGCAAGCGGCACTTCTCAGCTGAGCCCATGACGGGGTACCAGGGCTTCCTACATTCTCGCTCAATTAACAAGGCCCAGATGATGTTCCTCTTTTTTTCCACTGCTATCGTTTCGACAGCGGCATCCTTGGCCATTGCAGCTGCTCCGGAGACTGCAACTATCATTGTTGTGATTGCTTACTTGAGTTGTTGTCATCGATGCTGTGCCTATGAACACTGTCGTTATTGCTATCATTTCTGCCGCTATCATTGTGCACCATTGCCACTGCTATTGAACTTATATGTGGTAATGCTGCTCCAGGCTAGGATCTACGAACGTTATACAGTAATCGATCTTTTGTTCTTGTTCTTGCTGTTCGAGGGCTTTACTCTTTACCGTTGCTTGAGCATTCTCAGCCAAGAATCAGCTTATGCTGGCGCAGGTTCTGGTACCCCACCCGGTGGAGGATTCTGAGGATCTGCTGTGGAGCCTCGTTGAGTGGCTAGCTGAAGATGGCAGATTCTGAAGAATCCGGGGTGCGATTTTGAAATCCAGGGTCTTATGAAGGGACTCCCCATATTGTTGGTCTATTGGTTGCACCCATATTCTGCAGAGATTCGCTACCTGCCCAAGGCACCACATAATCTTTTCGAAGTGCGCTTAGGGCTCAGAGCGTTTTTTCCAAAACGTGGGCTTTCCTACAATCTTGCAAACGTGCAAGAGAATTTCTTACGCGAAGGCGGCCCTACAACCAGACCCTTCCCGACGGGTCTCGGCGGGGCCCTCCAGTGGCGACTGCTCGTGGCTGTGGCTGCATGTCATGGCAGTGTTGCGGTCATCTCAGTCAGAAGGCTGGAGATTAGGGTGCAAACTGAAAATTCTACGGGTTCTACAGCTTCCACTTTTCTTTTCCACAGACAAAAGATTTCGTTCGGGCTCTGGCTTGGAATGAAAATAAAGATGGAACGTTACTTGATTCTTGGCTGCGACGCTTCCCAACGTTACATGATAGAGCTACTTGGCTTTCCATCACCACTGGAAAAGAAGATGGATGCCGTCTCATGCATAAATCACGCCGAATAATGCATCTGAGGCTTCTGGACCAACATGCACGCTCCACCTGGCAGGGCATTCGCGGTCGAGGGCATGAATCGCCACTGTGATGACAGTAACAGCAGCAGCAGGAGGAGAAGGCGTAGCAGCATTGGTGGTGGTGGTGGTGTGGTGGTGGTGGTGTGGTGGTGGCGGTGGTGGCGGTGGTGGTGGTTGCGGTGGCGGTGGCGGTGGTGGTGGTTGCGGTGGCGGTGGCGGTGGTTGTGGTGGTGGCGGGTGGTGGGCACAGGTCTAGTGCTTGCAGCAGTTCTGCTTATGCAAAAAAATCGTGCAATCTGCATGCAGATGGAAGCAATTTGATTTCCTGGATGGCAGCTAGGGTGAGTTTGAAGTACAGAGGAGTACGAGACCTTGTGAGCACCTTTCCACTTGTGCAACGATTTGGGAGTCACGGTCAGATTTTGCCATCTAGTCCATGCTTTGAGAAGCTGAAGCGAAAACTGAAACGGAGTTCTTAGCTGTAGAATCCTGTAGGTGACCGCAGGAGTGGCAGCCTCTTTCGTACTTTTGCAAAAGCAGCTGGACTAACGAGGAATGGACATACCACTTATGCCCAACTCCAAAGCCTGTACTGAGCGGAGCTCATAGGCATGGATTGCTCGATAATCTCTTGGCAGAGTGAAGCCCAAATAGATCGGCTAGCTTGATCACAATATCCCATATCCCAGGTTTAGGAGCTGTTCAAGAATGGCTGCCGAAGCTGTACGCCACTCTTGGCATCGTAGGCGCATCTTGCAGAAAGATGTTGAAAAGGCTACGGTTTTAAGGCTTTTCCAGTGTTTTTAAGCAGGCAGTTTGCAGCCAAGAAGCCTCCACTTCAACCCTGCCAGGGCTCTCAGAGACATAGCAATGAGGCCATAAGCTTGTGAATATGTATAAGCCGAAGTATCAGCACAATGCATCCTGTGCGGGTATGTGCGGGTATGCCTCCGCGATGTTCCAGTTATGCAGTTCAGCAGACGCCCCTCAGACTAGAACTTCAAAGTGAGGTTGAAATGCTGCCACAGGCTGTGGCACGCACTGCAAGGCTCTTGAGTCAGCTCTTGATCTATCTTCCTCGGGCCATTCACTGCTAGCAATTCCCCTCATGAGTCTGAGGTCATTCCCATAGTCCAGGCTCCAGAAGTGAGAAAGCTGAGCCGGGGGAGAACAGACGTAATTGAATGCAGCAGTTATATTGCCAGGCTCGGTGGATCTTTACTGCTCCCGTGTTGGTCGGCGGCCGGTGAACTCGTACTGCTGGCATGCGGAACCTTGAAAGATTTCAGCATTTATTTTCCTAGCGAGCTATGCCTATGTTAACTTCTAGCAGGGGTGTAGCCAACATCCTCCGGCGGCTGGTCATACCATAAGTTTATGCAGGGTAAGATGAGATCCGGCTTTGCGTTTGTCTGTTTCTCTCCATTTGGACTCAGGACACCGTGGACGCACTAATCTACGTCCTCAACGGCACTAAAAGGGTGCGTGTTGCAGGGCATTTCCCTGGCAGCAGGGTGACCTTGGACAAAGCCACTCGCCACAACCGCTCTCGATCCGAGACCGTGGCGCATGATCAACGTGGAAGGAAGGCTTTAGGTGACCCTATACTGAGTGCGCCATTTCCTGGTGCGCTGTCCAGCCTGGTGCAAGGCTACCGCTCAACAAAGCCCCAGCACTATGAAGACTTGTCACCCGTAGATGTCTCCCAGGATATAGGCTTTATGGGTCGAAGGGTGTTTGCACTTCTCACGAAGTTGTAGCATGAGGTGATTTCAGCGGGCTCTGTCGTATACGTCCCTGGTGGCCGGTTCCACTCATTGAGGACATGCGCGATGAATGGGCGCAGTGAAATGTTGTGAAGCTCATGCACGTGATTGCAGGGTAGCATGTCTCAGGGCAGGACGGGCACCAAGTGCTTCTCCAACCCTGCTTCCGTCTACAGCATGATATGGAGCTGCTTGCTGGGGAATTCGTGAGTGCTAACGTGTGTCCATAAAGGAGCATGCCTATGGACGTTGATGCCAGCAAAGCCGAGCTCGTCTGAGGCCAAGAGTTTTGTTCGCACACATTGGAACCCGAGCAGTTGTTCATTCATAAGCCAGTGGGCTCAGGGTCCCAACACAACGCTGTGCAATGTAAAGCTCCAGTGAGGTAGCAGGTCGTTTGGAAGTCCTTGCTTTAGCTTTGCCCAGCACAGTACCGAGCCTTCCGTCCCGGCAAATACTTGGCGTCAGCCACGGCATGCCAAGACGCCAAGCTTATGCCCCCTGTCAATGTGTGTTTTCACAGAAGTGGTAGACTATCAATAAGGACCACCGCATCACGCCTTGCAATTTTCCTTGTTTTTGGGTTCTTGGACGGTGGTCGCATTTTCAACTATACGGTGTGCACCTTATGGACCAATGTTTTTTGCTTGCCTCGGTTCCTAGGAGTCCTACCATTCTCAAAGCTCTGAATCTTCGCCTGCACTGAGCCTCCATGCTCTATGAGAGTGAGGTCGTGGCCCTGAGTATCGGTCTTCCAAATCCGAACGAGGACCTGCTGGAGGCGATCAGGGGGCTTCGCCGAGAAAGTTGCGACCTTGACGCGTAGACCCCAAAAAGGGCAGAAAGTCCTTCGTCCTCGTTGGTATGTGTGTGAACGTGGTCTAGTGCTGCGATGAGAATGAGTGGCTGTAGGGGCCTCGCAGCCTAATTCCAGGAAAATTACAGCGGAGCATTTGAATGAACATGACTGCGCAGCGACTCGCATGTTGTCAGTTTACTGGGTTGCTGTCGAGGAACTGAATTTAAGCTACTTTTTTGGGAAACCCAAAATTGATTACCTTTTATACCCATTATGGTGACTTCAATTAGGTTCCTTAACAGCAACCCAGCTTACTTGTGACCAGTGTGGAAGTTGTGACCGCGGCAGGCCAGGATAGATCTCATGAGGCGCAGATGGGAAAGCTTTGACACTGCTTTGACATGCATGGTGAGTGAATACTATTCAAATTTCTTTGACTACTTAGCTTCGGGCTTAGCCGTTTGAGAACGCAGTTCCTTCAGGCGTTGCTCTGCAAACTCGCAGTGTGCTTTAGTGCTTCATTTGCAAAGTGTCATGTGATTTGTCTGAAGCCGCTGCCTCAAAATCTACAGCTTCTCTTGGTCCGAGACAGTTCCTTCTGTAAGTGGTGCCACTGTTTCGCAGGAAGGCCTTCGAGAACCAGAATCTCCAGTGGAATGATGTCGTCGGGCATGTGGCGGCTCTTCCCGAGGACGCAGTCCACATGCTCACCTTGGCAGATGTTGAACTCGGTGTTGCCAGTATTTGTCCTAGCAAGCACCTACACAATTCACTTTTTCTTGTACATCAGGACTTCCCAAAGAAACCAGAGGTCGTCTTCGCCGAGAAGGAGTTGCAGTTTCGAACCGTGTTGGGGTTTGGGTAAGGCTAACTTCCAGACCCATTGCATCAGACGCCAGGTTTCATTTTATTACGGCTGGGGCGCTGGCTTTTGTAAGAAAATGTACGAAGAGGAGCATTGTTGTGAAGTTGTTCCAATCCGGAAGGCATATGCTTGCCAATTGGAGTGCTTCTAGTACAGCAATTCTTGTGCCACTTCGACATGCCAGCTTCTTCCGCACTCGGCACGAAAGCTGAACAAGGAGATTCCTGCTGCAAGAGCCCCGAATCCTTTGCTCGCTCTCTCCCTCCCCTCTCTCTCTTTCCCTTCTCTTCTCTATGCTTCAAGAAAATTCCCATGCAATTTCTTATAACTGCTTAAAGAAGCGGCAAATCAAAAGCCTCAGACACTTGCATGCCTTATGCGATGGTTGAGGACGACTTGGACTCCCACGGGTTTTCTGCCCTACATCGGCGGACCTTGCAGGCGGCACGGAATAGGAAGGGATTTGGACGTGTATGTGTGGAGGATGTGCGCCCACCTGGAAGGGAAGCAGCAGAAGCAGAGCTTGCTTTGTTCGGGTTGAGGGCCTCGAACTGATGAGTGCATCACCCGCACACCACCATTTGGAACTAGACTCCGCTCCTCATTCAGGCCGAAATCCATTCAGCGCACTCGAGGAGGGCCTGAAAACGTGATCACTGCAGCCCTTATGCATTATTACCCTTCTCTGCGGCGCCCAGATCCTCTTCTAGAAGTGTGCGTGAGCTGTCATGATGACTGGCCCTTTCCTGTAAGCATGCCATTAGTATTCCATTTTTTCATCTTGTGGATTGCAGGGTGATGCGCGGCGCCTGGCGGTGCTGCTGCACTCGGGTGCGGAGGCGATCGGGAGCAAAAGAAGAAAAGCAAAGCAAAGGCAGCTGGAGGGCACAGATGGCCTGACTGGACGGCTGCGTGCAAACTTTAGATGACAGGAGGCTTCTTATCGTAAAGTCGTAAAGTAAAGTACACGACGTGAAGCGGCAGCACAGACGTGTGCCACTCTCGTTTGCTGCTGCTGCTGATGGCGTTGACGGCGACTGTGAGGAAGATGATGCTGATGCTTGATGCTGCTGCTGATCAATGCTAGCACCGTGGCTCTAGGTTTGCAACTTTCACGACATTGCCATTTAAGTGCCTGCACCATGTACGAATTTTGCAAACACTGTTCACTGAGTCTGAGTGTGTGTAGGTGAACCTCCGCAGCCTGCCCTCCGCACAGCGACCAGCGTTGACAGCACTTGGCCTTGCGGCTTGCTGCGTGGCAGAGGCGCTGCTGGCCATGTCCTGCATTCCAAAACTTGACCTTCAGACGATTGGCCAAAGACAGTGAGTGATGCATGAGACGTGCGGAAGTGAGTGGTTGCGTAACAGATTGACTGCGACAGATTCAGGAGCCAGCGCTCCTGCTGACCGGCAAACTTCTGGACACATGGCCTCAGAAAAGCATCCCAGCCCGGTCGTGAAGCGATTTTTCTATGTTGCCCTGAACTGCAGCAAAGGCTTGGAAGGGGCTAGCTTAAGACTTTCTTTCGTCAAGTAACTGTGGCCTGAGAACGGCACGGGCGAAAGGAAGGGTGTACATCAGTGTGAACCTGGGAGGGGCAGGACCTGCGGCAGCAGTTATTCTCATTGTTGTTGCTAACGCAGCTGGCGTGCATGGTGTTTACTGGCAGGTCAGTCGGTGCTTGCACTCTTTGAGGGATATCCGAGGGCCAGAATATTTTTCGTGCCTACGCTGGAGAGTAGCTAGCTGTTATCATTATTATAGCCGTGACATGCTGTGACGGTTTCGTTGTTCTAGCCAATGCTATGCTCATGAATGCTGTCTTGGTACGGATGCCACGAGCATGCTTCCCACTTGTACTCCTGCCCGTGCCAGTAATTACTGCTATTACCATGATTCTTGCTGTTGCCGCGGCGATTGCTGCTGGTGCTGTTCGTCGTCCTCATCGTCATCCAGCCCTTCCTTGTCGTCGCGAAAATCGTCGTTAGTGGTGGACTCTGTCAGCGCCACCAAGGAATTTTCCGCCGACCCGAAGGCTGTGGAATTTCATGAGGATGGACGCTCCTATTCGGCCTGCAGCTGAGCTTAGGCCTTTGGCTCTACGATTCTGAGATTATGTTGTGGGTTTTCATGACAGTTTCACTGCTTCGGGCCTTCTGAATGTAATATCACGAGGATACTGTTGCTGGTGTCCACTCGCACAGTCATCATTCATTATCCTTTGCATCAACCTGTCAAATGCGAATCATGATGCAATTACACGGGTCTCTTGTAATAAAGTCACTAACAGCAGCGCCTCTCGTCCTTGTTGAATTTGGTTTCTCCTCCTATCAGTGCTGGCAGCCTACTGGTCTGTTATCATCAACCTTAAACCTTATCGTGACTCATCACATCTTCATTGTTCGCTACCCCTCCCCTCCCCCTCCCCATTCCCCTCCCCTCAGTCTAGAAGCTTCAGGCGCTGGAGGTCGCCTCGCGGCGAAGCGAGGCCGGTAAGATGGGGATTTGATGGAGTATTCAGGTCTATATGAGCCATGGTATAGGGGGTTATACAGGGGACTGCTATAGGGGGTACTAAGGGGGCTACTAGGAGTTCATTGTTCGAGTGCTAAAAGGTTTTGCGAAGACCAAGGGGTCTTGCGGCCTGTGTGATGTGCAGCAGTGTGTGAGCGGGGGGGAGGGTCTAGGTTGGGGTCCAGGTTATTTTGTCCAATCTCATGGCTTGGACTAGGTTCTGAAAAAAACGTGCGTAGTGGCATTGACTGCTTGCTGGAACTTGATTGCACGCAGATGCACAAAGGCATTGTGGGCGAAAGATACGAGTGTCCTTCCAGGCATTCCTTCAGCAGGTGAGCCCATAGACATTGCTCCGGGGTGGTTTCGACTTTTCAGTAGGGTCTAAAATGCAAAGTCCCACAGACCATGTGTGGGTGCGGGGACGTGTCGTGCAACGAAGCACCTGGTCATCTTGCGAAAGGCATCTCGGAGCTAGAAAACTTCAGCGGGCGGCGGTGCGCGTAAATTCAGTAATTGCATTCTTTTCTTTCCAGTTGCTGGCAGCGAAGGCATTCGCTCAAAAACTGAGGAGCCGGCTGGAAGTAGCTGAAGAGCTTTGATCGCTTGAAAAAGCAACGCAGGCTAGGGGGTAGCGGGTGGCATGGCAGAGACGAATTGGAGGCTATGTACCGCAGTCAGTGCATTTGCATGGAGCTGCTGGATGATTGTTGTGGAGTCACAGTAGCTGCAGAGACGATTGCGTCAGCAGCAATCAGAAGGCTAGAGTTTCCGCAAGGGGTGCAGCCCAGCATTAATGGCTGATGCTGCCACTTTGGCCCAGATTCCGACGTACGCAAATTGCAGAGCATGACGGAACAATTGTCACTTGGGTGCAGAAACGGTTCAAGTAGCCATATTTGCGGAGGCCATATCTATAGTGTCCAGCTCCCTCGGCAAACAACATGTTGTTCAATTGTAGTTTTACAGCCGCAACATTGGCTGAGGTATTTCAGGGTCTTCATACCCAGACCCCCTAAGGGATCCAAAAAATGGAACTCCTCAATAACCTAGTTCCCCGGGGGTCCAATTTTTTGGATCCTTTAGGGGGTCTGGGTACTCGCTTAATTACACCTCCTGTCATGAGCGATGGCAAGGGTGCCAAGGCTGCACCGGCGCTGCCAGCGCGGGAGCTCTGACCGCAATATGTACTGTGGTTATCGTCTTGGGTGTGCTAGAATAAGCTCCCCAGTCCCATATACCCCATATTCTATCTACTTCAGGGGGACCAGAATATTGCGGTTATATAGGGGTTGTATATATTGGGATAAGAGTTCTTGTGGACCTCTGCATTGTGCGAAGGTTCAGCCAGTCACTGCCTCAGGTACACTCCATGGCGGGGGCTGTTGCTGGTGCTCTGCAAACTGCGGCCTGGCACCCTCTCGATGTACTGAAGACACGCCGCTCCAAAGAGATTATGCTCGCACTTTGTTCCGGGTGAGCGCTGAAGCCTTGTGCTCAGGAGCGGAGGGTCATGAGCTGTGAGGGAGAGGGAAACCTGTACTAGTAGCCTATAGCTCTGAAGCGAACCAGTTTTTGGTTGGGCTTTGTGTGTTGCTGGGGCGAGTCAAGTGTGCTGGCAGCCTCCGCTGGTCAGAATGTTTGGTAGAGCTAGTCTATTCGACCATTTATGCAGAAGACTGCCCTTTCTGAATAGTGCTGGTGCAGTGAAGAGCACATGTCCAAGGAATGCAGGTCCGTGATGGGACCGTTGGCCGGGTGCACTCATATGGATCTCTGGGGCAGGCGGGGTTCTCACGGCTGGATCTTAAGAGTCTAAGTTCTGAAAGGTGCATAACCCATGTACAGGACGGAAGACCATGCGTTTTTCAACGGAAGCTTGGTTAGAAGTTTTTTTAGCACGGCCACATAACATGGGTAGCTAGTACCCGCAACCAGGCTGCCTGATCTCGTTGTGAAGACAGCGCTACGTTTTCTTGTCCATTCTGCTAATTTCGCAGGACAGTAAGAGCTGATCATAGCCGATCACTGGATGTAGGGCAGACTCCTGACTTGAAGTCGTTGCTGATGCTGATGAAGCACAGGGTGTAAGCTCGCAGCCTCTGCAGCCTAAATCTGAAGGACTAATCAGATGCTCGGGCAGATCAGACAAACGGAACCCACGTTTCAATCCAAAAGCGCTTAGGGGATCGTGGGGCAGAGATTCTTTCTTGCGCAGGTGTGACGCATCAAACTGCAAATGGTTATCAAAGATATCTGTCATGTCAAGATGCGCAGGGCACCTGCATGACCGCAGATATGTGAATTCCTTTGCGAACTGCTGAGCCAGGCAACTCTTTCCACATTTCGTGCTGAAGGTCTTGCTGGATTTTTTCGAGGCCGAGGGCTGTGCTGTGTGTGCTGGGTGAGCGAGGCCTTTTGCTCCCCGTTGCTTTGTGACTTCTTGTGACTTTGTCTTCAGAGGTGTGACTGCCAACGTCATTGGGTCGTCCGTCGCCTGGGGGCTACAGATGCAGCTTGGCTCCGTGCCTGGTGGAACTACTGGACTGCAGGATCATGATGCAAATGCCTGTTTCAACGCTGGTTGAAGTCTGGGGGCACGGTTGACCTGCACCCAGTTTAGCCTGTAGAGTTGCAAGATTCTTGCAGTCAAGCACGTGTAGCTACGACAACACGCAACTGTCGTAAAATCTGAGTGTTTATGCAAACCAGAGTGCCTGACCTGATGCCCAGGCCAATCTACAGCAAGCTGAAGCAGTTGGCGCATGCCGAGGTACTATTCCCAAGGGGCGCACCCTTTGGTCAGTTTGAAAAAGATGCCGACCTCCAGCTTATGATTTAAAAGTCAGGTTTCAGCCCCTTCCAGTTTGAAATTATGCCTGTTTGCACGGGCCTGGAATGAGAGACCGAAACAACCTGGACTTTAAATGGGAAAACAAGAACTAGTGGCCCAGCCGAATTAAGATTTGTCTCCCTGTCGCAGCTTGGGGAGCGCTCCCTGGCTACGGATGGGCTCTGTTCTCTTCTGGCCGGTGGCTGCACAAATCTGGCTTCCCGGCATGCAATCAGTTCCATGGGTCCACGGCTGCCAGCGCAAAGTGAAGGCAAGGTAGCAATACAGCTGAGGGAGCGAGCTCAGTACCAAGCGGACAGAATTACGGACGAGAGTTCTCAAAATTGTTCAATCTCCGGGGTTGTCACAAAATTACCTTTTTTAGCTTGACCCGAAACGTTGTTATCATTTTGTGAGTGTCTTAAAAAGTCTGCATGTCAAGTCCCGCTTAGTATGGGGCGCCTTAAGTGTGCGAAGTTTGGCTGAAGTTATTCAGGATCCCCTGGTTCGTTTGGGGTGCTTTAATTGTGCGAAGTTGCACGGCCTAAAATAATTGACCTGAGAATGGTTGAATAGAATAAGCTTGGTGGCTCCATTTCACCCAACCTGTCAGCCTCATGAAGCAACTAGGTCCTGATCCCAGCTGGTCTTACTTTCATGTCAAATCAGAATTCTTGCCTTAAGTTTCTTACAGTAAGCTTCAGGATTTGGTAGCTTCCCTAAATAAGGCGACAAAACTATAGACCCCAATAATTCTTATTATAAGGACCCCCAAAATGGTACCGTAATTTAAGGAAACCACAAGTTTTCAGGCCTCATCAGGCCAGGTCCCAATCTATCGAATTCTGATTTAACTACTACTTATTCGAGGAGGCCAGGGACCCCCGTTTTGCAAATGGGTAGTCCTGCAGCTTCTGGGGTCTTCCAGAATACGAATGTTTTAGGAGCCTTAGTTATTCGAAATTTTCGGGCCCTCTAGGGGTTCAAGAAAGCCAACGCCTGTCTTTTGAGCAGCTACTGGGCTCTGCAATGCTCCTCGTATGGATCCTTCTGCATTTCGGGGGTCCCCGGAATGATATTGCCCAAAAAGTAGGTTTCACGACAATCTATATAGAATCAGTTCGAAGCTAAGTGACATAATCGCCCTGAAGAGATTATATTTCTCCAGGAATACTCTAATTGCAGTCTTGTTATGGTTGTGTTCCGGCAGTGGGTTTTTACAAGTGTGGGTCAAGTCCCCAATAGTCAACATTAAAACAGATTCTGAGCTCAGGAAACCTTCCTCATATTGAGTTCAAGTTAAAACTACGACCCAAATTTGTTTGGGGAGGTTCTCTCCCCCTCTACAGTATAGAGGACTCCTTTTCGTTTGGGGGCGAGGGGTCGAGTAAACTAATCAGGCTACAACGTGAAATTGTTCAAAGAATGTCCCTTCTCGTTTCGTTGTTTTTGAATTTTCCTCTCGGTAATTTTCCAACTAGAGTCCACATCTTGCACTTCGCGGCGTCCCTGGACATAATGTCTCGCAGGTTCTTCAGAGCGGTCACATTGCAGTCTTCGTGTTCACTTCCTTAATCCAGCCAGAGCTTCAGCCCGTTGCAATTGACAAGACGCATGCCTGAGCAAGAGCAGGCCTGCTGCTTCATGCCCGCAACTCGCAAAGCCGATGCTCATTCTTTTGCTTCTGCTGCTACTGGTGCCTGTTCTAGCAGCTCCTGCCATTGCTACTCCTGCTGCTACTAGGCTCTCACTCCCTCTCTTGCTCTTGGTTCTGCTGGTGCACTGCTCCCGCAAAGACAAGTCCTGATGCTGCTTCCGCTGCTGCCCCTCCTCCTCTTCCTCCCGCTTCTGCTGCTACTGCTACTCGCTGTGCTGTTGCTGTGACTACGGAAATGTCCCCTCTCAAAAGTGAACGGCCCCCAATAATCATAGCTTCCCCCTAATGGCCCTAATGTGCTTCTTCTGCTAGCTGCTCCCCCTACTCCTAACACTGATGCGCTGCTGCTACTAGTTGCCATTTTTGCTGGGATTACTTGCAAGTGCTTGCCCTCAACAGTAAACGGCTCTCCCACAATTGCTTCTCCACTAATATCAATGCTCCAGGGCGAAAAAGAGGTCACGGCAGCCTCAGAAATCAATGATTCTCAAAGTGGCCCTGTTTAAAAACAATGGTTGTTTTATTCGTCTCGACACTGCAATGAGTGAGGCTTTAACCGCCCTCAACACCCGCAATGATGACAGCCTTCGCAATTGAAATTCCTTCCTAGGACCATTCCTCAAAATTGCGTCCTCAGAGAAAAGCATTTGATACGCGATGAAGTAGTGCGACGGCGAGGTCCTTAATGGAATGATTATATGCAATATGATACTGTAGATACTGTAGACATCTTTTGGAATTGCTGTTTCAGTTGTTAGAAAAGTTAGTGAAAAGTTCGTGCTTGCTCAAGCCCCTTTTGTAAGCCGACTTTGGATGGCTCCTCTCTCAGCATTGTGTCGTATCTTCCCAATGTGAACTACATTGCCTGGAAGATGCCAAATTTGCCACTGTCAACTGCCCAAGAAGACTTCCGGCAACCCAGGTTGTGCATCCAGTTTTCCTCGTCAAGACGCGCAGCTCGACAAGCTAGTCTCAATTGCCAGTTGCTTCTGTCCTGAAGCGATGCTTATCTGCAGCATGTGTGTCACCTGTCCTGATGCGGGTAGGACTGGAAGGGATGTTAGCAGAAGCACGAGTCCGCTGGATGAGTCTCTGGCAAAGAGGGATCCGAGGCCTCCAGCTGCAAAGACATAGTGTGGAGGCACTTCCGCAGCTGTGATTTCCTCCGGGGCTTGTGCCTTGCGTGAGGCTTCGCAAGTCAGACGTGACAGGCAGGCTCATAGGTTTATTTGGGGCAAAGCACTCAAGTGTGCACGTTTAGACGGCAGGGCCGCTCAGTAGCAGTCGGTTTGTGATGAGGCGAGACTTCAGCATTGAATAGCGGTAGGCTCCTAAACTAGTCTTGGCTGGAAGCAGTTGTGACTTCTCACAGGCATGTGGCAATGCACCAACTTATTTCCACATTGCATGACAGTGTTGTTGTGCCACAATTCTGCTTATGTACAATGTCTTAGGTTCGATGGTCTGGGGACACGTGACACGTGACTCTGTGGAGTTCCTGATGCAGACATACAGAAGTATCCTTGCAACTGAACGACACACCTGACCTGCTACTCGACTCCACCATTGATGCAGCTGGCTTTCCAAGCGTCTGCAGGCAGGTCATCCGCAGCTGCAGTACCGTGGGGCCATGCATGCAGCGACTCGGTCATGGTTCCGTAGGATTCAGTGGATAACGCAACGAGGCTCAGCAGGTACAGCTGGATTCGCAGCTGGATTATTGCTAGAACCGGAGCTGTCAAAATCCTTGGCCAAAATGCGCAAGGAAGTCTCCTCGTTTCGAGGAAGTGCCTAGAGATCCTGTGCTGCCATACCTATTCACACGCACACCATGTTGTTGTAGACTTGGACCTGACACGTCCTGAATGGAATCTTATTGTATATGAGTTATTTCTCTCTTTTCCGTCTCACTGGTGATGTTTGTGGAGTTAGTTGGTTCCTTATTGCCAAGCCAGCCAGCTACAGTAGGTCCGTGAACTGTCAAATGATTCTTTTGAGGGTTTCCCATCACCGTGAGCTTGACCAGGTATCTACGATTGCGAAAGAAGAAGGTCTTGCAGGCCATCCTGAGACAAGCACTGTGACTATTCGTAGACGAGACTTGAGATGTTTTTGCTGACCAGCCAAGAGCTCCACTTCCAGTTGGCGTGGACATGAAATTGTGTCAGAGTTACATTTTGAGCTCCTGAAGACATTTCGTGGATTCTAGGCTTGCCAAGCTGCCTCCTGGCAGGTTTTTATCGAGGTTTTGGTCCTTCACTTATGCTGTGCTCACATGGTGCGGTGCTTCTGGTCTCTTACGACACTTTCTTGCAAATACCAAGGGTAACTTCAAGTTGCAGCCTTGTTGCGGTGCTTCCTTGTTTCCTTGCCGTGTGTGGATATCAGTCATCGTTCCTGTCATGAACGAAACTTTCTGTGTGGAGGGCATTTTGCTTGAGTTCTAAACTGCTTGGGGCAAGCCGCCGTATCCCAATCATTCGGGTAAGGACAACTTCAAATTGGTCTTTGATTCAGTCCTGGCGGCGTCGGCGTCGGCAAAGATCTTTGCGACAATAGCAGCTCAAACGCAGCAGGTTTGAGCGGTGGTCGCACTGAGCATGCAAGAGTTGGGTCAATGTTAGGGCGCTTCTTATACATTCTGGATCTTTCCGGCATATTGCTTTCCCCACACAACTTTGGAAAGGGGCCTAGTTTGTGCTGAGGTTTATATACCTATGTATATATATGTATATCTATATGTATGTCCCTATCTAATCCATATATAAGCCTAGTCTCCATTTCGTTTTCCATGTTCTTTTCCACTTGATTCTCCATGATGGTACTTTCCATTCTCTTTTCCATTCCCCCACATATTCCTGTACAATCCGGATAATGCCCATTACATCCCGAATTTCCATTATTTTGCACATCCATCGCTGCTCCCTAAACCCTAAACCGCCTGGCATCCTGTTCGTATTGGAGCGTGGAGAATGGGGGTCTCAGGCAACTTACCCGCTCCAGGTGGTTCGGCTACTTGGATCATTTAGGGTTAAGGGCTTAGGGAACGGTTAAGGAATGGACATGGAAGTTCCTACAGTGGAGAACAGAATTCAAAGGAGCATGGAACATGAAATGGAAGCAGAGGTTATAGGGTTGGGGATCCTATAGGATCTTCTTATGCAGCTTTTGCTTGTTTGGGGTTCGCGAAAATCACAGCTCTTGGTAAAGATTCCATAAAAAGGATTGTCGTTATTATTTGGGAGGGGATAAGGGGCCCCTAACAACAGAAACGACCAGTTCTGAACACATTACTTGCCTAATGCAGCATCTCCGCTCATATGCCGGTGGCCGGTTCACGTCTAGGGACAGCATGGGGGTAAAAACCATATACCCCGGGTCTAGCGCTAGGGCTTCGCTGGGGTGTGGATCCTTCAAGCCCAGGGGCTGCACTAAGGGTCCTTTGACCCGACAAGTGCCTAAGTACTGTGGCCTCCTTGCCCTTATAGTTCCTCTGCGCTAGAGCGGCAGTGCAACTGGCCTTGTCACTGAAAAAAATCTGCTTTTGTGCTCTGTTTGAGCGAAGCCTGCGCGATTTGCCCACTTGTGGAGGGGTGCGTGAAGAGAAGTTGGGGGGTTCCCAACTTCTTGGCGGGTTTTGGGGGTTTGTGTGTTGGGGAGGTGGGGACCTTGTCTCTGTGCTGTCTAGTCTCTCTTCTTGTGTCCACCTTTCTCTGCTCATGCTGTCCTGGTTTCTCTCTGTTTTGCCTTGGCTGGGTTACTCTAGTACTTCGCTCGAACCTTTTGCGGGGGGCGGCAACTCCCCTGAGATGATCTGAGATGGTGGGGGACGCGGCAGTTGGTCCTCCTCCTATTCCCCGCCCTCGACATATCATATAATGCTGGCCGTTGCTGTTGTTGTTCGTGATACCAGATCGGAATTTCATTTTGGCGAAAGAGCATCTTTCCTTGCAGAACATGCATGTGGGATGGCATTCAACCCCGGAATGTTGTCTCAGGGTTTGACCAAGCATATCAGGAAAAAGAAAAAACGCCGAGGGTTTGCATTTCTTGTTTTTGCAGACTCCCCGCCCCCCCCCCCCACCAGACAAGGTCTGTTATGCAGCAGCGGCCAACCAATCCGGAAGCCTTCGAGCTCTGAAGCTGCATCAGATCAGGGCTCAGCGTCTGACAAAGAAACAGGGCACTAGGGCTGGTGCCTCTTTGTTCGCAATGCAGATAGCTGTTCAAGAGCTGTACAGGAAGACTCCTGTACAACAGGAGTTTTGCATATGAGTGGCCGGTTGCTAGCTCCAGTTCAGTGTGTTTGGCGGGTTTTGCTTGAGCACTTGGATTCTTTTGGATGCTGCCAACGTCATGTTTTGCCGAAGCGGAGCCTGTGGCAGACTGCAGTAAGGTACACGAGTGCTCCGCGGACTGTGCGACTCCTCTGGCAGCGGAACGGTCTGCCGGCCTTCTACCGAGGCATGAGTGCATGCGAGGGTGGATTGGTTGATGAGTAGGATGCAGATTCACACATCTGCTAAGTGAAGTGGTTGGTTGATGCGCTTGTTCATGCCAGCGCAGCCAGCGTGAAAAGGCAATGGGTATCGCAAAGGTGATAGACCAATGATGATGCCCATTCATAACATGAATTTGGTCTCATGTATTGATGCTGCGAACCGGCATTGCAACCAAAGCGCAAGCTTTCGTCAAGCCTTTGCAGGCATTCTGCCACAGATGCTGCGAACTGTGCCGCAAGCTATGGCCTTCTTCTCGATTTACGAGCACCTTGACTGCAAAGTTGCTGGCTGCCATCATGTGTAGTTAAGCTTCAGAGTTGAGACATAGTGGCAAGGCATGTAGCTCCACTAGCAAAACCTAATTGTCAGACATTCGCTCGAGACTCGCTTCGGAAACCATGCAGGCAAAGCTTCCTTGAAAGTTTCACGACTGCTTCACGCGTTTACTGGTCAACCGTACGTAATTCTTGTATGAAAGCCCAGGAGAGCAAGGGTTCACCCTGGCTAGGTTTTTATGTGCGGCCGTGCCTGAAACCAGTGGATAAGTTGGGGGTGTCGATTGCGGCTTCTGCTGGACCGTGCTTTGAAGCATGAATTCCTCAAGCTACGCATCTCAAAAGTGAGCATAAACTTTACATAGGGGGCAAGGTTGGTAGATATGCTTGTGGACCCAGGTACAGCCTGCAGGTGCTCACAAAGTTGCTGCTGGTTGGAAGCAAGAATACTTTCCTGTAGCGTCAAGCTTCAGCAGATGGGCTGAGTACTGAGCTGGTGTTCGAGACTCGCTCGGCAACTGGCCGACAGCTTCCAAAGCTTCAAGCTGCTTCAATCCTGACGGACTCTGTGCCCACCAAGCTGAGATGGCGGCATGCGATCACAGCTTGCGAGGCCCAAAGCGGCCCCAGGCTGGAAGCGAGTGCTGCCATCTAATGTAAGGAAGAAAAGCTGCATAGTGCTTTACATTGAACCGAGGCCTGTTTGTCGCTGTGTGCTGGCAATGTTGGCAGGGTTCACGTAGCTGCGCTGAAGTCTTCACGAGCCCGTCACCGAGCCCGCCCAATGCCCCAACACTGCAGCCCTGGCTCAACCACCCTCGGCTACTTACGTGACCATCCGGTACTTGAACTAATTGGCCTCGAGGCCGGAGCCTCAGCCTTCATCCCACTCCCTGTGCCGCGTTTGCCGTGACATTTCTGGTTGCAAGCAACACGCCTGCAGGGCTCTGCGTCCAAAGTCCAGGCTCTTCATCTTTAGCTGGAAAGGGATCTTGACCAAGTTGCACTTACAGAAAGGCGCCCCAAGGCGCCCCACTCTGCTGAAGATTGTCTCACAGAGTGTGCACGGCAGTTGCTGAGGCCATGTCCATCTTGAAGCTCCTTTGTACTGCAACAGCCGTCCATGCCACCGGCTGAGCTTCCCATCCACAGGCATGCTTACAACCCCCTCAAAGTCCACGCCAAAACAAGTGAGATATAGTCTAAACCCCTCAAAGGGGGTTATACAAGGGATTATATAGGGGGTTATAGGGGTTATTAACGGGGATACTAGCAGTTTAGACTATGGCTCAAGTGTCTTGTGTGCCACGAGTTTGAGGCTTGCAGTTGCATTGGCCTTTGCAAGCTGACCTGGCAAGCTGGTTCACTTGGTAGGTTTAGTTTCCCGAAATAGGGGATCCTGATAGAAGCCAAAATACTATGATCCTTTCTATGGGGACCCCTAATAAGGTACCCCATATCTTGGGAAACCCAATAGCCTCAACCATCCAAAACCCTGTATACACCTTTTTTAACCCGTAAATTCCCTCTTAAGGGTACACTTAGTTTTGGAAAACCACCACTTGAGGTTCCAGGAATAGGAAATTGAGTTTGCTCGGGACCCGACAGTAGAAAAGGCCTGGTGGAGCGCGACTTAAGAAAGATGACCAATCACATCATTAGTAGCATTAGTACTGCTACTATTAATACAACTATAATTGAGATAACTCGTATTATACTTATGCCTCATATCACTGTTATTACTATTACAGCTATAACTAATATTACGATAACTACTTCAGCCCCAACCTTGCAGGTGAATCAAGCGAATCTGTGATCCCAAAGCCATTGCCCAGGTCACCGCTGCTGCCTTTGGTCACCAGTCTGCGAAGGGGCTTGCTGTGGGAAAGTAGGTTTTGGGTTTTGACCATAATGGGGATAACCCAAGAAATCAAAGAGCACTTACCATCCCAGGGCTCCTTTCAGAGTGCTCTTTGATTCTGTTTACACTAGGTCAAAATCCTAACCTGGTTTAGGGTGCATCCAGGTTCAGGGCTTGCTGCTGGGTTTCAAATATTTTCCATTTAGAAGTTCTGCTCGCAGACCGGAATGTTGGAATGCAAAACGCCCATCGGGGCTTCGCTGTGGCATTTTATGACTGGACTTGGGAATCTGTTTGCCAGAGCAGTGGCCCACTTGGCAGTTGCAAGGCAAGCATCTTGGGTCTAGCATAGCAGCCTGGCAAACCTGCCAGGTTGTAGGCAAGGAGGTTTATAATTTGACCCATGACTCCATGCAATGTCTGCCACTGGCCTATGTTGAGAGGCAATTTTGTAGAGCAAGGCCGCATGCAAAGTCTGCTCCAAGGCGAAGCGGAACTCTGCTGTGCCAAGGCCTGGCCAGGTAGAAGATTCGTTCTTGGTGGAGTGACACGATGCTGGAGCTAGCCAAGCAGATGGGGTTGAAACACGTACTGTTTGGATTTATTTTGGATTTGCTCGCCAAAGGTCCCTTTTCATGGTGGTGTCCTGCTTCAGCGAGGAACCACACTGCAGGCGCATCCAAACGCTTTGATAAAGGTTTGAGTAACGAGAATCGGATCAGCAATCCCCAGTAGTCCGCGGCAAGGCGCGTGGAAAAGTAAGGGCGATTTGATGGGACAGTCTGTAAATGCCGTATTCCAGAAGTTCCAAATAAGAATCCTAGGAGTGTCGTGCAAAGTTCATGTCAACAAGCCGCCTTCCACTACCCGCGCAGTACCCATCGTGTCATTTGCCCCTGAACTTTTTTCTCGTATCCCATAACTTCAGCCTTGAGAGCTGATAGAGCTGCCTGCTGGGTTTATGGTGCGAGCCAACGGTCTTGTGCATGCCAAGTTCATCCATACTAAGACACAGGAGGACACCTGAGCCAAGGCAAAGCTTGCGTCCTAGTTGAAGTGATATTGATTCTCCAGTCAAAGCTCAAATAGGTGTTTGGACTGCAGAATTCATTCTTGCAGACCTTGCCAATGCCTGGCAGCCGAATGCTGTGGAAGTTTGGACCTTCCTTCATCAGGCCCACAGCAGTGCTCGAAATTCCACAGAATTGCACAAGGCTGCCGACATGGAGCCCAGGCCTGAAAGTGTTGACATGTGGCATGTGCGAGAAGCATAGGTCCCGTGCATTCAAGATCTAGATTCCTCTCAGAACGATACGGTCAGAACACTGAAAGCAAGCTGCAAAGCCTTTTGTTTATCTTGATTTGTAAGCCTTGCGCACGGACTGCCTTGGGCTGGGTCACAGAGCTGGGAACTGAACCTTTCAACGGTACAACTGGAGCTGACAGCCGGGTCAGGGTTGAGCGGCCAGGAAGAAGGTGAGTAGAAGCTTGTGTGATCTCCTGTGAACATTTGAGCATCTCTAGTAGGAATCTGCGGGCAGCCAGCAACACTCTCGTAAGGCTTCATCAAACAAATTCTGATGGTGCGTTGGTGTAGATTGTGGGTCGCGTTGCTGCGAGGCCCGTGAGTTCATAGCTAGTTTGCGCCGTGTTTAAGATTGGCAGCCTAAAGTATAATCCATGAATCCAATGTCCATTTCTAGCTTCCAGTCTTTTTGACCACGAGGCTGGCCTTCGCAGTGGGATCTCCAAAGGATGCCATGGAGAAAGCCATAAGTTGCTCTGAAAGCAATAGGTCGTGTTCGGATGGCTTAGTCTGTTTTGCACAGTATTTTTGCAGAAGGCCTGCTGTGTGGAACCCGGAACCACAGATAAGTTGTAAAGTCTTTTGATTCTGAGGATTCTGGTCTTGGTTCGACATCTTTGGAGAAGAGGCACATGTGTGTGTGTGTGTGGCAAGCAGTCAGCACCTGCGCTTCTGTGTTAAAGCCACCAAGCTGAAAGTGAGACTGTTTGGGACGCGACAGACAGTGTGGTTGGTGATGGGACTCGTCACCTCGGCATTGTCCTAGTATGCGCATCCAGAAGAGTTGCTTTTCTCATAACTCAGCTTGCCAGACGGATTCTTCAAAAGCAAGGGCAGTCCGCCGAAGCCACTCTCGCTGGACAGCTTCAGACAAGGCGGGGCTTTGCAGTTGCGGCGGGTGTTACTCCAGACACTCGCCCGCGGAATGGAGCTGCCCATGCAATGAAACAACCAAGAGTGTGGCAGCTGAACAGAAGTCTGAAGAAGTACGAATAGCTCAAGCAACAAGCCAGTGTACTTCTCCCCAAGCTTGGTGATTGTTGCGCGTATCGAGCGGGTGGCGAACCTTGGGCGTGAAAGGGATTCAGAGGTTCGGAGTGCCTGGCGGCCAGGCGCTGGTCCCGAGTTTAAAAGGAAGGTGCAGGATTTCCATGTCTATACCAACATGTTTCTTCTACAAGAGGATGCTTCTGCCATCTTGGTCAAAGAGTAGACGTAAGCTGCCAGCACTATACGCCTTCGCCAATTCTTGCAAGCCTGGATGTAAGCCTGACGCGCGCCTTTTGTGAAAGCTTGCTTTCCTCCGATACGCAGGCAATCCTGGCGAGCTTGTGTGCCTTCCTTGTGCCCAGTGCTCAGAGCAAGATATCTTCTTCCATGCGCTGCTGGCAATGGCTGCAAGGAGTAGTCATGTAAGTCATAAGACAAATCAGCAATTGTGATTCGTGAAGCTGAAGATTGCATTGGTCTGAGTCATGAGGGCTCGAAGTCCGAAGTAGTCAGTCCCAGTTGAAGCCCTGCGAATTCAATAGCTATAGGTCTTCACTGGTCCCGTGGTGGGGAGGGTAGGTGTACAGACGCGCAGGGCCTCAGCCCCAAACCTTGTACCACTGGTTGTAGACTTCTGCACTGGTCCGGTGGAAAAGACTCTGGCCTCAAAGCTCCGGGTATTCAGCGTTGCCATTAAGATCCATTAAGTTTGGATGGCTACCATGCGACACTAACGTCAAGAGCCCCAGACCCTGAGGTTGATAGACGCTTTTGCCATTCAGCGGCTGGCACCCAAAGGGCTTCGCGCCCATGTCCTGGTGGTGCTCTTCTGGATTGGCGTGGGCCTAGGCCTGGAGGGCAGACTTCTGGATTGCTCCTGTTTAAGCCGTGGGGGACATTCATGTTGAAGCGCTTTCCACAAAGCCAGCTGCTTTTGCTGCATGCTGCAGGTTTCAACGTGCTCGTCTTTGCCCGGCATGGATCAGTTGCAGGCACCTTGAAAGACGTGGTACAGCACTGGACACACACACACACACACACACACGGATAATGGATTGTGCGATCGGTTCTTGTCCGAAGTTCTCATTGGGGGGGACCTGCAAGTACTCATAGAAGAACGTCGTACATGTATCCTGTAATATATCATGACATGAGACCATCAACATCATGCATTGCCAAGCTGGATAACATGCCATGAACTCATCAACTTCCTTGCGCTGCCGACCTGGATGACATGCCATGAATCCATAAACTTTCTTGCACTGCCGCCCTGCCTAACTTGACTGTCATGACTGTTCATCTTCGCAATGTACGGCATATGACCACAAACATGTACTGCATGTGACTGAGCATGATCCGAGTCTGCTTCTTTGTCCTGGAAATTGCATCCTGAAATGATCCGTGTCTGCTTCTCTGGCGTGGAAAATTGGCATCCACTCCTATGATCAGCCAACTTCGGAACTGTACAAGCAGGTACGTCATGGGGACGTCTCCCCATGATGTCACAAGCAAACTGGAGCGTCTTCGTTGGTGCAAGACTCCAGAGTGCTCCTTGCACCCCCTGCGAAATGATGGAGATCTGCTGCTTCAAAATTCCTCTCCTGTAAAATGATTAAAACTGCGGAATCAACAGTCCTCCAGTGACCCTTAGCTTAGAATCAGGGTGTACACACACACACACCTGTGAATGTTTGCTCATGCCAACACGCCCACTGTCGCGGCCGCTCATGCCTTGGGTGTTTCAACAGGTGACGCCACCCCTGTGCACCCAGGCGTAGAATGGTGCAGCGGCTACGTACTTGACGCTGGTGTGCAATATGCCGAAAGACAGTCATGCGATTCGGCCTAAATGGCCAGTGTGCGCTTTGGGCATCCGCGCGCATGAGGAATGGCTTCTATCCCTGGACAACCTCTTTGTATTTCATCTGGTCTTCCAGCTCTATAAGACACCGCCCCAGGTAGTGCACAAGGCTGGAGCCCTTTTCTTCATGGGTTTTAGCCAGTTCCTGCGTCTTCAGCGATTCCAGAGATCTGTCATGAAATTCAGAGCAGCAATTATGGATAGTCCCTAGTCCGGTTCCAGTTGAGGGCCCTTTTTCTTGAATCCGGCGGTGTGCCCCTTATGTTTCTGTTCAGCTGTCGTTGCAATTCTTCGCTTTGCCTTCAATATTGCATGTTGGCGTTCTTAGCAGTTTTGGTGGTCCAGTTACGCAGGCGCTATTTCTTGGCATCGCCGGGGCCGTCATATGCCGGCTTCTGTTCTTTGCCGTCGTGAGGCCGCATCAATCACCGCTTTGCATTAATGGCGTGGGCAGCGCTCTGTAATTCATGTGCTGTGCAGGGAGATGCTGGATTTCATCAGCTGCTTGCGCTTTGTCTTCGGCGTGTTCCTGATCTGGCCGCTTGACTGACGGGTGGCTTTTGAAGTTTACAAGTTTATACAAGATAGCTGCTATTGAACAGACCCCCTCACTCGGGTGTGCAGTGCTGGCAGATTCAGGCATCGTCCTTCCAGTCTGAGAGCACACTGTTTGAGCCTGTCTTATGCAGGGGATGGCCGCGGCATTGCCATGGTCGGAAGTGGCCCCTGCTTTTGACTTACCATTGCCTGCTTCGCACTATGAAGTTTTCGGAGCTTGGGAGAGACGGGCCCGGGCGCGGCGCCACACTACCGACCAAACCCACTTGGATGCCATACTCATCCATACTCACTTCGTGTCACTTCACTTCACCAGAGGCAGTGTATGCAACGTGAGGGATTAAATCGCGCTAGGTCAGAAGCTGTCTGCCAGCAGTAGTTGGATCGGAACCCACTAGGCACTAGCATCATTGGCCCCAAGTGCATGCTCGGGGCCTTGCATGGTCACGCCTTCATGGGTCAAGACACTTCAAGCGTGTACAGGAATTCCTTCTATTTCTGCAACTTTTTGAGGACCTTACTTACTTTCATCAGCCCTAGTCTTTTTGTTTTTCCTCGAGCCTCTGTCGTTCGGCAAACGAGTCTGGCAGAGCAATACGTATGAAATCCCTGATGGTGACCCCTATGCTCTGCGTATGATCCTTCAACATCCCCGGGTTTCCTTTGAGGTCCCCTACTCTGATGACCTATCCTGTATGCCAAATACTTCCAAGGAGCGGTGTACAAGCTGCCCGCGAGCAGGAGGTACATCGGACCAAGAGCTTCATAAAGTCTTTGGGATGACACGGGCTGTGCAGGGCTTCACTGGGATATGCAGTAGTCTCTGAGGCTGGCCATCTAGAGTTCATAGCAGGACTTACTCAATTTGGCCGGTTCAGGGGTTTTGCATGTTGATACATGATTGGGATTTACTGTTGGACCCCTCTTTTGTATAACCACCCCCCGCCCAAGAATTGATTATTCTCTTTAACACCAGGCCACCCCCCAATTTGCGGCGCAATTAAAATCGATAAACACATGAATCTCGGTAGTAGCCTGGAAGCTGGTAGTCTTTTTAGCAGTAGTGTCAGTACTGGCACTACCATTCGCATAAAAGACCCGTTTAAGACGCGATGAAGCAAATTGGAATCTATTCAGAATTTCTACACATCAACCAAATTCAAATGAACTGACATCCGATTAAAAATTAATGAAAAACGTAATCAAATTCAACTGCAAGCCGACTTTATCAAACCAATTGCGATTCAAGTAAAAGCAATTGACGTCAAATTTAACCCAATTGAAGCCAATTGAAAATGTATTGAAGACCGCTTTCAAATCTAGATTCACTCTAGATCTGAAAGTGGTTATTCCAACAGCTTGCTGTTGCGGTTGCCCGGGGCAAGGCCGTGCAGTCCGCCGCAGGGGCGACAATGCTGTCGTGCCTGCGGCTCGACTGCGCGCCAGTCTTGCTGAGGTTGAAGTCGAGCCATGAGGCCGAGTCAGTGCTGAGACCTTGTTGTCTCTCCTTGCTCGGGGGCTCCCTGTAAGGGCCATCCAGTTCGAGCGGGGCCTGCCTGGTCTCCATCGCGCCTGTATTGCGGGCTTTTTTTCCCGGGTGGTTTTTCCGAGTTTCGCGCACTCCCACAAGGGGCCCAGGTGGCTTGACCATGTTTCTTCAGTAGGCTCTCAGCAACAGATCTGCCACAATGGCAGTTTCAAGTGGGGCTGCCGATCATATGCTGGCTCCAGTACGACCGATTCACTCTATTCAAAATCAATTGCAATCCGGTTTGAATCAACCGACGTCTAGTTCAAATCAACTGAAATCTAATTACAAATTAGTTCAAACCTACTCAACTTCAATTTCACACCTTCAAAATGATTTAAGATTCAAGCAAAACCAATTGACATCAAAATAAAAGCCACTGAAACCAATTGAACATCTAGTGCAAACCACAATAAAATCTAATTGCATTCACTTCGAAATCCATTCAAATCTGATTCGAATCCATGAAATCTGATTCAAATCAAGGTAAAACCAATTGAAATCTAATTGTAATCAATTTCGGCTCAATTAAGAATGGTATCCCGTTGAACAGGTATTCCGAGCCCCCAAACCAATTGCTTAAAGAGGATCCAGACCTGTGCTGGACTACCCCCCCACAAAAATTGACGGCTCGTATGTTTTCGGATTATTCCGAAAACGCAGTTTATATGGAGCAGGGGTCTCTGAGTTTACGGATTTTCGGATTCTCTAATATCAGGCCTATAAGAGGTAAAGGCTCTGGTGCTAGAGCTCTGGGATGAACATCCCTCTTGTAGGGCCCCCAAGGTAAACCTTACTTAGGTAAGAACTTGTGCTGTTTGTTTTTGTATTTTGCACCTGAAATTTTCTTATTTCGACACCCGTCAAACAATGGCAGATTTCTTTCCCTGGAAAAATTATCATTCCGACCACCTCTGCAAAAGTGGGTCCAACATTACCAGTTGTCGGAGTTGCGAAAGTTGTTGGTCTCTTGGCACGAACTTGCTGCTTGACTGTCTTCATTTGCGGATGGTCTACTCTGAAGCATGTAGGCTTTGATGACCTCCCTCCGCATGTTGCCTGTTCTACCTGCCCCTTCTCGTATCTACTGCCCGTGCCCAGTTGCGCAGTACCCTTGGCAGGATAGCGATGGGGTCGACACCTCCTCAGTGAGAACGCTTCGCTGGCTGCTGGGGAGTCGGCTGCTGGACAATTACGGAAACGAAAAGGCACATGCTGCACCTGATGACTGTGAAGCTGAGTGCGGCCAGATAATGGCGGTCCCATGTTCCCGGTGTCCACTGATGCACCATCTGTTAGGGAGAGGCTTCTGCATGGCAATGGGCTGCAGCTGCAGTTGGGAGCTAATCCGCAGATGCATCCTTGGAAGGATGCAGGCAGCCTGCTTGCTTGGAATGACGGCAAGCTCGCCTTCACGCTGATGCTGCCTGTGGTTTTCTGTGGCTAGCCTGCAGCACGTCGTGCTTGCAGCGTGCGTGGTTCTGTGTTCTCAACACATGCTGTCTGGACCGCTTGTACTGTAAGAGAGCACCTCGTTATCCCCAAAGTATCATGCAAAAGCTCCTCGTAGAATTTGCTTTGTTTCCCCTTCAAGAGCCCAGGTCTGGAGATCACTGACGTGGTCTTTGCTCTTGAACCATGGTGGCACCGCATCAGCTTTGGATTTTCCACATCAATGTTGATTGAGACCTGCCTGTCATGTACCTATGCCATGTGGCAACAGAGAAAATTAAATGCATTTTGTGTGGGCCCAGGACAGTGTCAGCGCCAAGGCCTTGCCTTTTGCACTTGAGGGATTGGTTTTGGCTTTTGGATGTTCGGCCGGGCTTCCTGCAGAATCCCCCGCCCATGTCAGACAAGTCGAGTGGCTGCATTTGTCGCATTCCTATCAAGAGCTTGCATTCAACAAATCCTCTCACTATATGCCTGACCCTTTCGAGCGCCGTGTGGCTGTGATTATTAGCCTCCCTGAAGTTGTTGTTACTGTTGCTTCTAGTGTCGCCTTGACTGCTGCTTTTGCTGGTGGTGGTGGTGGTGCTGCTGCTGCTGCTGCTGTTGTTAAAGCAGTATTTGGTGGTACTGGTGCTGGTGGTGGTCGTGGTGGAGGACACGGCAGCAGGAGTCGAGTTTGAGCCACATGTTGAGCTCCTCAGGAACAGCAGCAATGCAGACCTTATCCTCGCATCCATTCCCCCACAATGTTGACAAATCATTGACAAAGGAGGTGACAAGAATATATTGTTGCCGAGACAGAAAATTCCCGGGAGATAGCGTTTGCCTTCTAACAAGTTCAGAGCCCGAAAAGGTCTAAACAATGTCCATTGGCAATAATGAGGCGGGTGGCCTGAAAGTATTGTCCGCCCAAAAATATTGCGATTTTAATGGATTCCCGAGTCTACTTGTACGACTAGTACTACGAGCTGCACTACCTGGTCCTACCCCAGCCCCTTGGTTTACTATTGCGATCCCCCTGCTCCCTAGACCAAAATGCAAAGCAAGATCTCCGGGAGATCCTTTATTGTCATGTTAACATTAGTCTCAAGACACGCGTCAGGGCACTGCGTAGACCATTGATGGAGGCAACTGTTGGAAGCCTTTTTCCTTGTAGTACAGCTGCTTACAGCCTATCAAGACAACAGTTATCAAGTTTCCAATGGATCTTCAACCTGAAAGCCTGATCGTTTCAATCACTATGCCCAAGGGCTTAGCCGGTCCATCGAATGGCCTTGCCATTGCAAGAGGACCTCAGGGGTTGTGGATAGACCTCATGTCTGGTCTGCCGCAATTCCAGAGACTGCACCAACCCACGTTGAAGAGGCAGCCCAGATTCCTGACTACTGGATCTCCGTGTCTTCCTCCATATTAGCGCCGCCTGGATTTCAAGTCCATTAAAGCCGGATGAGATCAGATGGTGGCAAGTTGCTATGACCCTTTTTGAATTTTCCACCTTTGAGCCATGCTTAGAAGTGTTGCGTCAGTGGTTGCCCAGCGCGTGGTCGTGAGCCGTCATGAGAGTGCTCCTAGACTTTGCCTAAGAAACTTGCAGTGCTCGAAGCCATCATCTCAGGATGTTTGCCCTGCGTGCCATGTTCTTCGTCGTGCAGGACTTCGTGGCAATGTTCGAGCTGCTAAAATATGGCCTGCGCCACGCCTGTTTGTGACATGTTTCTTTGAATTTCTGCTTTGCTAAGCAATACATGGCACGAGCAGTCCAAGTAGATCACTTGCAGGATGTGCGCATATTCGAGGGTCAGCCTCAGGTGCTGCATTTTAGTCTTCATTGGCGTTGAGCTTATGGTCTCAGACTACGTGGTGCTGCCGCCACAGGCTCAACTGAAGTGCGTGTCCGGTTTTTGTTTGCTGGATAATGTGCCGCAACCTGCCGTTTCTTTGACTCATGCATGGCTCTGCCGATGAGCCTTTGCTTTGATTCTTCCCTGCCTCTCTTGACAGCCATGCCAAGCTGGATATCTTGTGAGCGTAGAAGTCTCGAACGCCTTGTTGCTTGCGGGGAGGTGGTCTGCGCAGTCATCCTATCTGCCTCTTGGTGATATGGTGATTTTACTACATCTTGCGGTCACGCATCCTCTTCAGCAAGAAATTCACCGACGCGTCTGGAGTTTTGAGTCCGCGCGTTTTCCACCTGAGGCCGCAGGTGCTGTTATTGATTACTTTGTAGTCGAAGCACCGACGTCTTCTGCCCTCTTAAAAAAACGGCTCAGAGATTCAAGACAGGCAGCTATGCAATGCAGTTGACATGTACCAGTACATGCTCCCCACCCCTCGAATTGGCAACGTCATGCACATATCCTTTTCGTCTTCGGATAATTCGTTACAATTCACTTGCACGCACAACGATTTAGATACCCGAACTGCAGACGACAGCGCAGCAAGTGTGAAAAGGTCTTCATCATCTCCATCTTCGGCTCCTCCAGTCTCGTAAGCCGCGGAGAAGCGGCGGAACTGCTGCAGTCGGCGCAAGCAGGCGATGATAAGGCAAGCTGCCCAAGCCAATCACGAATACTCCTCAAACGTCCCTGTGCCTGTCTTGCAGTGGCCTTGCCAGACGTACCTCAGTGTTGCAGGCCAGCTGTGCATGAGCTCGGCCCTGAGGGCTCAGTTACATGATGTTACATGCTAGGACTTGTATGCTGCGTACTCAGGCCATCGGCCCTTGCACAGCGAGCTGGACTTTCAAACGTAGAGCGGCTGATCTGGGACTTCTCCTGTCTGTTTGGAGAGAGTCTCCAGAGTGTGGCAAGTCGAAGACGTGATACTTGCAACAGATTGCAGGCACTCATGTGGCAAGGGGGGAATCCAGTATGAGCTGTTTGCTTGCTTTGCTTGCACCATCTGTCGCATGTGCGGTCGCATGAAATTCTTAGTCGCATAGGCTTGCAGCTCTGTCTTATCCGATACGTAGAAGAGCTGCTGCTGCATGAATGCCTCGGAAAAATCGCACGAATGTATTTTGTCTTTTTTTACGTGAAGCAACAGTCAGCCTGGGCGCCCCTGAAACGGAAATGGCGAGAAGCCCGGAGCCGTATGTGGTTTCAGATTTAGGAGATCTCCAAACCTCAAGCTCTAAACCGTAAGTCTAAAACCCTTGACCCTAAAGCAGGTCTCAGCTCAAGTGGCGATGGTACTTTCAGGATGTGGTGTGGATCCTGAGGGCACAAGGCAGATGGCAAGTTGGAGAACGGGAATCCTCAGATGTCCCTATATATAATTGTAAATGCTAGCACGCGCCCGCCTCGGCTGGCGGGGCTTCCCAATGTAGGAACATGTAATTATAGAAATACAGGTATTTAAGTTAGGTATATAGATACAGTCATATGCCTATTACATACACAATAAAACCCTAGAAGTCCAACTAGGGACGCGCAAGTAGGACCCAGGAAACCGGTGGGGAAAATGTTCGGGGCCAGCGTTCGGAC